GTTCGCCGTCCAAACCCAGTCCCTTCAGATCGGCTTTAATGCAATCTTCCCACCTTCGCTTCGGTCTTCCCCTCGGACGCTTACCATTCGGCACAGCAAATATTAACCTTTTAGGAATTCTCTCGTTACTAAGCCCAACAACTTTACAAGCCCATTTGATTCGCCGCGATGAAATTACCTCAATTATATTACCCGAATACAGCTCACGCAATTCGGCGTTGTGTAACCGTCTGAACTCTCCGGTTAACTCATCCTTCTTCGGTCCGAATATTCTACGCAATACTTTATTTTCAAAACCCTTAAGACGCTGCTCATCCCTTAATGTAAGCGGCCAAGTTTCGCATCCATAAAGAACTGTAGGCAAGATAATTGTTTTATAGATTCTAATTTTTAAGTTTCGGGACAAGAGGCGCGAACTAAGTAGTTTTGTCACAGAAAAATAACAAGCATTCCCCGCCTTCAGTCTAACCTTAATCTCTTCTTCAATTTCGTTTTTTCTAGTTATCGTAGAACCTAGATACCTAAATTTATCTACCTGTTCAAACATATTACCATCTATATCGATATCACCAGTAGTATCGCCATTTTTGCAGCTAACCATATATTTTGTTTTATCCACGTTTATTTCGAGTCCTAGTTCTTTACCGGCTTTCATTAACGTTGTCGTATTTAGTTTTATAGTTTCAACGTCTTCGCTTAACAGTACCAGATCATCAGCATAGCCCAGCACGGATGTTGTCCCGCCCAGATCCAACCCTTTCTCGGTACGCATTACCTCCCTAATGGCATGTTCTAATGCCAAATTGAACAGGACAGGCGAAAGAGAATCCCCCTGTTTTAAGCCCGAACGAACCTCAAATTTTTCGGACAAATTATTACCGATTCTAACTTTATTGAGTGTCTCCGTCAAGCACATCCTGACTAGATTTACTAGTTTTTTTGGAATTCCCTGCTCGATTAGAATATTATACAGTTTCTGGCGGTCAATAGAATCGTAAGCCTTTTTAAAATCTATATACAGCTGGTGAACAATACCGTTATACTCCAATTTTTTCTCTAATATTTGCCGTAAAGAAAATATTTGATCAATAGTCGAACGATTCCGTCTAAATCCGCATTGGTAGTCTCCGATAAGTTCCTCGGCGTATTCCGTGATTCGACTGGTTAAGATTGAAGTGAATATTTTATAACATACCGGAAGGAGTGAAATTCCTCGATAGTTATTACAATCCGTCCTCGGACCCTTTTTGTGAATCGGAATAAGAATAGATTCTTTCCATTCTTCAGGTAATTTCTCGTTCACCCAGATCATTTCAACCAACCGATGTATTTTAGAAACTCCAGCTTCCCCGCATGCCTTAATTAGTTCAGTAGGAATATTATCGATTCCCGCTGCTTTATATGATTTTAATTTACCGATAGCTACTTCAACTTCCTCTTTACTTGGTCCTTCTATCAACGGTTCAGCACTCTGGTACTCAGAAGGAGGACACAGATCATAATTTCCCGTATTTAAAATATTGTCAAAGTGGTCCTTAAATTTATTCAATATGTCAACCGGATCGGTCAGAATATTGTTATTATCATCCCTAATTCCAGACGTTACGGGCCCTACATATTTACGTGATCTGTTTATACCTTTGTACATGTCTCTTACGTTATTTTCGATTCTATTAGTTTCTATTTCAATTATTTTATTTTTAAGATACTCCCTTTTTTTATTTTTGAGCAATTTTTTCGTTTCGTTCTTTGAGATTCGGAAGTATTCCAGATTGTCTTCGCTAGGATTATTTAGAGCTTTTAATTTAGCGGCTTTCCTTTTTTCGCACATGTTTAAGCAATCTTCATCAAACCACGGTTTGTTATTCTTATTTTCCTTTTTTCCTAGACACGAGTTACCGACCGCTTTAATATTATCCCTGATCTCTACCCATAACTTGTCAATATCCTCGTGGTCCTCGTCAGGAAGCTCTAAAGCTTCAAACCTATTCTTAACATCTAGCTCGAATTGGTTTCTAATTGATGGATTTTTTAATTTTTCCAAATTAAAATTCTCAAAATCGAAACGGTTTTCTTTTCTCTTTTTTATATTAAGTTTTTGTCGAAGTTTCGCGATTACTAATTCATGATCCGACCCACATTCTGCTCCGCGATAAGACCGTACATTGATTATACTGCTTTGCCAGCTGTGTTGTATCAAGACATGATCGATTTGATTTCGTGTTTGCGAATCCGGCGATGTCCAAGTATATTTATGAATATCCTTACGTTTAAACGTCGTACTTTTAATTACCAGGTTTTTCGAGATGGCAAAGTTTATCAGACGGATCCCATTATCATTACTATATTCGTGCAAACTTTCTTTACCAATCGTCTGAATATAAACTTCTTCCCTTCCTACCTTTGCGTTCGCGTCACCTACAATTATTTTCGTGTAGTTTCGCGGTAGTTTATCATACACCCATTCGAGATTATCGTAAAATTCACTTTTGACTTCATCGTCACTGTCTTCGGTCGGACAATGTATGTTTATTAATGCGATTTTAAACCAACGTCCCTGAAATGTAGCTACCGAAATTCTATCACTAAAGAATTGTACGTCCCTCAAAGCGGATAGTAATCTACTCCTAATTAGAAACCCGGTACCTAAACAATGATTCCCGCTTCCTCCGTACCAAATAGTGTACTTTCCTTCCCTCATCGAGCCCTCCCCTGGCCAGCGAACCTCTTGCAGAGCCACGACATCCAAATTGTACCCATTTACCTCATTCGCGACCGATTTTAGCCCCCCTGCTGTGTTTAAACTCCTTACGTTCCACGTACCAATATTTAAATCCCTATATTTCAACTTGCGGCATGAATCCCCTAAAGCAGTCCCCACCCGGAGACCCGAACGGGGGACTAGTTTACCTCCGGATAATGAGCGTTTTACCTTAGGGAGATCCATGACTTTTTGTGGTGTTTGGTGAACTAAAGATATGTGAGTAGGGCGTTCAATCCTACGTCACACCCTCCAGCAAGTCTGGTGGGCCCCTACCTCCAGCAAGTCTGGAGGTCCCCTCCCTCCAGCAAGTCTGGAGGGCCCCTCTCATTGTTGGTCAGCGAGTCCATCGGACTTAGCCGGGAGGAACTTCCAAGGAATTTCCACCGACCATCCCCACATCCGCCACCCGTGGGACGCTCCCCATACGCGGTAATGAGCCCGCGCGAGGTGACTAATAAATTAACTATTTACAAAGTACTCATTTAACCAGTTTGGACATATGGAATCGAACTATGATGGAGAACAGCAAAGAAATGAAATATAAAAATCATCCAGTCATTCAGCCAAAAGTCCTTCGGAAAATTGTAGACGCATCCTTTTATGTTTCAAAACTTACGTTACACACTGACCTTAACACTCCTTTCATCACGGCAACTGCCACTTTTCATGACATTTTGCAAATTTTCATGACATACTGACTCTAAATTCAAATCCACTTACTCAAGCTCTGTCTACTGCCACAAATCCATATAATCCGCCCAGAAGACTGCTGAGGCGCTGGCCAAGAGGCTTATTGCATTGAGCTACTTGCTGTATTATCTTTTTTTGTGTTATTATGCTATCTTATTTTCATTTTACTTCTTTTTTTTTGTTTGTTTGGTTATTACTATTTTTATTTTTTTATGCTATCAGATTTACTGAATACCGAGGTAGAAGGCAAATTTATTTTGAGCCAGGAATATGTGTAACTAATAAATAAATGTTATATATTTACTTTTTAACCCTAAAAAATAATTTTACTGTTGTTGAGTATAAGAATAAAAAATTATAATATTCCAAAAGATAGAATTTGACTTCAAGAAACCTTAGTTTTTGAGAGTTCAGAAGTAGCCACTAGTGGATCCAGGATTTAAATTTGGAAGAGAGAAGGGTTCAGCCTGAAAGCTTTTTTTTATATTTTACCACTTTGGGAGGAAGGATTCAGCCCAAAAGCCCTTCCCAGTAGATCTCAGTGAAAATAACTAATTCTTATTAAAAAAATTATTTGAAATTTCAATCTGTTTTTTTGGTCATAAAATATAGTGGTATCCTGTCAATCTTGAATGAATTTATATAAAATGGTTTAAATGAGAACCTAATTCTCCAAGGCAGACTTTTTTACAGCCAATTTATTTTAATTTGTACAAGTTGTAATATAAATCAGGCATTGGATTATCATTAATTTAAATAATTATTTTACTTTTTTTAAAGTTTACTTTGAATTACACAATATTTTATCAGTTTAAAGTATATGTTACAGGAAAGATGCTAAGAGATATCTTTTACTATAAATTTTCACCTCTTGTAAATTTTTGAATGAAGAATGAATATTAAAATTTAAAAACTTTGAAAGAAAATGTTACATTATAATAATAATAAAATATGTTTCTTATATACTAAAGGATATTCTTACAATGCTTCTTATGAGATTTAATTTCCAATTTATCATCTAAATATTTCTTGAAAGAGAGTATTATTTCTAGGCTCCTGGCATTTATTGGGATAAAACAAAAAAAATAATTTTAAAACTTTCAATAGTTAAAAACTAGATGTTCCAGAATTTATAAGAAAAAAAAAACCTGTACCACTACAACTCATGAAGAGTATTGGGTTCAGTACTTTGTAATTACTGTTTCAAGGCCAATAGTTGTTCAAGAAGGTGGTCACCATCAACTGCCAGATTTTCCCCTTAATTAATTATTTTAATTAAGAGTACCCACTTTATAGAGGCAGGATGAGCCTAGGAGGGTCTCCGGACCCTAGGGTTGATCCACGGCTGATGAAAAATACTTGTCATCAGCTGGAATCGAACCCAGAACCTTAAGTTTTGAAGTCAGTGCTTACCCACTGAGCTACCCTGCTCCCCTCCAGAATAAATAGGACTTATATTAAATATTGATTCCTGTCAACAAAGCATAAATAATTCCGTAATGATGAATATTTAGTGTGAAATAGGTGGAGAAAAAAATAACAAATTAAGTTTCCAGAAATATTTATTCACACTTTCGCACCCATTCATCCTTGAATTGACCATAAATAAACATGCAAAGGATGTGAAGACAAAAAAATAATATTTAATGCTCTTTCCTAATGTTTCACATAATCAAAAACCAAAACAAAACATAAAATATAACTAAAAAAAATAAATGCAAAAAAATAAATTTAAATTTTATCCACCACTTACCCATGTGTGAATTTAGTTTACAACACATACAAAACATTTTATCATAATACTTAGGGAAAACAAACATCTGATATTCCAGTAAGGAGAGGGAAGTATCTTATTTTTAATTTTTTTTTTTTTTGTATATTTTTAAAATTATGTTTCTTATTATATGTGAAATATAGCAATTATACTGACACAACAAAAATTAATTGATAAATTCTAGGTAAACTAAAGTTCCCAATTTTATATTAACTCTAGGATACAATGTTACACTATGAAGTATTACCAATTTTCCTCTTAAAATTGAATAAATGACGTTAATATTCTAAATGTTATACCAGCTAGCGTTAAGACGATCTGGGAAAAATTAGGAGATAACAATGTTTTAAATCTATTACCATCATTTACATAATTAGTATACAGCTATTCCTCTATTATTACCAGTAAAACAATTGATTGAATAATCAAGTATGGCAAATGAATCGAGAATCCTTCGAGTTTACTACTTGTTAAAATAGAATAATTTGAAAGACCAACATCATGATAATAAACAACCAGCATCAGGTATTAATATGTTAAAAAGAGATGTAATCGCCCTAAACACCATATCATTCAGGTATCTGCAATTAAAGAAAAATAAACTTGATGAATTGAAACAACTACTGATCAGAAATTTTTGCTTATCAGAAATACTTTATGTACTACTCAATGTGGAAATATTCCCCAAAATAAATTTATTACTTCTAAATAACATGTTCTCGAGGAATGGCAGTATTATGGGAGTAAATACAAAAAATGTCTAATTAAATTGAAAGTGCAAAACCTTTATGTCCCAGAGCGCCTTGTTCGCAGGGATATTTTATCCCTCACAAAATATATATTATTCACTTACATACTTAAATTTACATATATATTTTTTTTGTTTCCTTAAAAACTGCATAGATATATACTTAAGATGAAAATGGGCAAAGCCCTTTCTATAACTTTATTAACTACTACAAATTAAAGAACAATCAAAATAAAGATAAGCATATATAGAAATCAAAGCAATACCTCAAATTGAAATGTCGCCTGACCTGCAAGACCTATCGGGATCAAACACTTCTTTCTGTAATAAACCTCTTCATCTTCTTTTTTTAGCATTTTATTTATTTTTTTAATCTCTTTAGCGCTATATATAAACTATGCATTTATTTATATATTCATAAGTGTATCATATAATTATATAATAGTTATATATAAAATGTTTTAATAGTAAATAGGTTCAAATAGAAAACCTTAAAAATGATGCTACTAACAGTTAATAATTTTATTTTTATTTTTATAGATATTTATAAAAAAGTGACAAACATGTTGAAATTAAAAGAGGGAAATTCCTCAACAATAGTTAATATTAAAATGAAACAAAATATATTTGCCTAGTCCTAACACGATATACAACAAATAAAGTATCAGATTTATACACTATATTTATCTTCAAAAGAACAAAGATAAATTAAATTTAATAAAATTAATCCCAAGCTCTCATTAAATGTATAAAAATGAGCCAAGACCACTTCATAAAATCGTTGAAGTGATAGCATATTTATATATTCAAAACTTTCAAATGTTCACGTACAAAAGAAAGTGGTGCTTTTTTTATTACTTTTAAGCACCATACAAACTCAATACCGGTTTTAGTTATTGTTTTTTCCTGAATAATTCGTCATAAGTTTCGTGATAATTAAGTGCATGACCCCTCTCTAATTGTGTATTAATTACATTTAATTTGATGCGGAGGAATTAACAGTTATATTCCACCATAAATATCAATTTATATGTGCTCTTTATCATCAGTATTTACTTTAACAGATCTCGCAACTCAGGCAACGACAAATAAAATATTAGAAAAAGTTTTAACTTTTGCATTACATATCTTTTTTCTATTTATATAAAGAGTTTACATTCAGATTCTACAAAATATTCATGACATGAGATATTCTCTCATACATTTACTGAATGACTGAAGTACCAACAGAGATTTATCTCATAGTGCAAAATTATGTAGTGACATAGTGTTTACACGGTATAATGTTAAATATTCAGTACACCAAAGTCGAGTTTTTCAGGTAAATTCAATTCAATTCAAATAGAATAATAACAATAAGTATAATCAATAATAATTAAATAAACCCAGAAATTTTCCGTGAAAACGAGAAAATTCATCCTGTATTTGGTGGTGGTTTTTCTTCTTAATTTTTTATTTATTTTTTTTTTGTAGCTTTAAAAGTCCATAAACTTTTAAATACATATGAATGTATCAATTCAATTTTTCTCCATATCAGTGTTATGTTGTAACAGACTGTTGCGGTTTCTGCTACAAATATGAACGATAGTTAATGTGAGAATTATTTAGGGGTGATTTGGGTGCATTCAATCATTTGCTCTCACCATCTGTTACTTTTTAAATCTTTTATGATTTAATAACTGTTTTATTAATTATAGGTTTAAATAAATAACCCTCCATTCAAAAAATAACAACCCCTAATATATTTTTTTTTTTAACGTTATCACATTGTTTTGCCTGCTCACAGCTTTTGAAGAGGCAACATTTAACAAAAAATTAAGAAATAACTATATAACATTTTTTCTCACGATTTCTTTCACCCATGACTTTCACACACACATTCATACCATTTTTAACACAATTATTATTTTCATTTCATTTTTCACAGTATAAAAAATATTTTTTACATCTCATATGACGAAAAATGAGTCTTAGCCAAGACGTATGACTATTTATAAAAAAATCAGCGATCTATCATAAACCTACTATATATACGTTAACGTATAAACTATATATATTTATATAAATATAAAAAAGTCGTTCAATGGTCCATTAAAAAAAAAAAGAAAAAAACAAAAAAACGACTGCACTAGAGAGTAGAAGCCTAGATTTCGCTGGTTCTGCCCTCAAAGCTGTTGCTTGTTTCTCCGTTCACTTGGCAGTTTATACCTATAAAACAAGTATTAAAGAAAATAACAAATAATTAATTATAACAATTTTTTTTTATTTCTAGGGTGCTATATATTCAGTATAAATTAAATTAAATAAAGTATTATTGTTCACGGATATTATTGGACATGGAATAAATGTTGACTTGTTGTTTTAAACAAAAAAAATATACATCATACCGATTCTTCATAAACAAGAGTAAGTTAATTAAAATTCTATGGTATATTACATGTACCCTAAGATTAAAAATTGAGTTTGTCTAAGATAAGTTTGGCAGTGGGTAGAGGGGGGGGAGAGGTGCGCAGTGGCAAAGAATTTTCCCGCCGATTCCCCAGTCTTTTGTCTTCACTCATTCGTACGTACTTCTATAATTTTTTTTTATAACTTGAAATTTCTTTCACCAATTTTTTTTCCTATTTCTTTTACAAAATTAGATTTCAGAAGAAAATCGAAAAAAGCGTTCCTATTTTAAGGTAAATGCTAGGGTGAAGAGAGAGGAGCTTGAGAGGGGAAAAGCTGTTTCCCCTACAGGCAAACTTATCTTAGATGCGCTATACCTTAAGTTTTAAAGCCCAAAAATGCACCAATTTCAAAATAAACCCTAATTAATGCTACAAGCCTCGTAGGCGCTTAATGGTTGTTAAGGTTTTATAGTCTACAGCAAACTAAAATATATTGAAAAAGTAAATTAAGGAGTTTATATTTGTATTAAAGTTTATATTCCGACGATTGGTAAAGAAAGTTTGCACGAATATAGCAATGATAATGGGATCCATCTGATAAACTTTGCCATCTCGAAAAACCTGATAATTGAAAGTACGACGTTCAAACATAAGGAAAACTTAATATAAAAAAGAGAAAAGAAAACCGTTTCGATTTTGAGAATTTTAATTTGGAAAAATTAAAAAATCCATCAATTAGAACCCAATTCGAGCTAGATGTTAAGAATAGGTTTGAAGCTTTAGAGAACTCGTCGGTAACTCATGTCTAGGAAAAAAGTAAAATAAGAATAACAAACCATGTTTTGATGAAGATTGCTTAAATATGTGCGAAAACAGAAAGAAAAGCCGCTAAATTAAAAGCTCTAAATAATCCTAGCGAAGACAATCTGGAATGCTTCCGAACCTCAAAGAACGAAACAACAAAATTGCTCAAAAATAAAAAAAGGTATCTTAAAAATAAAATAATTGAAATAGAAACTAATAGAATCGAAAATAACGTAAGAGACATGTACAAAGGTATAAACAGATCACGTAAATGTGTAGGGCCCGTAACGTCTGGAATTAGGGATGATAATAACAATATTCTGACCGATCCGGTTGACATATTGAATAAGTTTAAGGACCACTTTGACAATATTTTAAATACGGGAAATTATGATCTATGTCCTCCTTCTGAGTACCAGAGTGCTAAACCGTTAATAGAAGGACCAAGTAAAGAGGAAGTTGAAGTAGCTATCGGATAATTAAAATCTTATAAAGCAGTGGGAACCGATAATATTCCTACTGAATTAATTAAGGCATGCAGGGAAGCTGGAGTTTCTAAAATACATCGGTTGGTTTAAAAGATCTGGGTGAATGAGAAATTACCTGAGGAATGGAAAGAATCTATTCTTATTCCGATTCACAAAAAGGGCCCGAGGACGGATTGTAATAACTATCGCGGAATTTCACTCCTTCCGGTATGTTATAAAATATTCACTTTAATCTTAACCAGTCGAATCACGGAATATGCCGAGGAAATTATCGGAGACTACCAATGCGGATTTAGACGGAATCGCTTAACTATTGATCAAATATTTTCTTTATGGCAAATATTATAGAAAAAATTGGAATACAACGGTATTGTTCACCAGCTGTATATAGATTTTAAAAAGGCTTACGATTCTATTGATCGCCAGAAACTGTATAATATTCTAATCGAGCAGGGGATTCCAAAAAAACTAGTAAATCTAGTCAGGATGTGCTTGACGGAGACACTCAATAAAGTTAGAATCGGTAATAATCTGTCGGAAAAATTTGAGGTTCGTTCGGGTTTAAAACAGGGGGATTCTCTTTCGCCTGTCCTGTTCAATTTAGCATTGGAACATGCCATTAGGGAGGTAATGGGTACCGAGAAAGGGTTGGATCTGGGTGGGACAACATCCGTGCTGGGCTATGCTGATGATCTGGTACTGTTAAGTGAAGACGTTGAAACTATAAAACTAAATACGACAACGTTAATGAAAGCCGGTAAAAAACTAGGACTCGAAATAAACGTGGATAAAACAAAATATATGGTTAGCTGCAAAAATGGCGATACTACTGGTGATATCGATATAGACGGTAATATGTTTAAACAGGTAGATAAATTTAGGTATCTAGGTTCTACGATAACTAGAAAAAACAAAATTGAAGAAGTGATTAAGATTAGACTGAAGTCGGGAAATACTTGTTATTTTTCTGTGACAAAACTATTCAGTTCGCGCCTTTTGTCCCGGAACTTAAAAATTAGAATCTATAAAACAATTATCTTGCCTACAGTTCTTTATGGATGCGAAACTTGGCCGCTTACATTAAGGAATGAGCAGCGTCTTAAGGTTTTTGAAAATAAAGTATTGCGTAGAATATTCGGACCGAAGAAGGATGAGTTAACCGGAGAATTCAGACGGTTACACAACGCCGAATTGCGTGAACTGTATCCGGGTAATATAATTGAGGTTATTTCATTGCGGCGAATCAAATGGGCTTGTAAAGTTGTTGGGCTTAGTAACGAGAGAATTCCTAAAAGGTTAATACTTGCTGTGCCAAATGGTAAGCGTCCGAGGGGAAGACCGAAGCGAAGGTGGGAAGATTGCATTAAAGCCGATCTGAAGGGACTGGGTTTGGACAGCGAACGGTGGAGGGAGGTGTGTAATAAGCAAATGGTGGTGTCGGCATCGAACCTTCGGGTTCTCGCTAAGCCTTTTATTATTTATTATTTATTATTTAAATTAAGGCGAATAGTTTTAGAGATCCCTTAGACACTTTGGATAAAATAGTAAGAGACTCTGATGTTTCAAACAATTTTCATAGTTGTTAATATCGCCTTGGTGATGATGTTCTTATTCATATTCCACAAAAGAGTGAATGAACTTGCAGGAATTCTGCTTTTTTGTGATAACCAAATAGGTTTCAACAAGAACACCAATAGTTTACGGATTAGTGAGTCTTATTGCATAATTAGAGCTATTTTCCTGTAGAGCAAGCTATTTGCTTCTAAAGTAAATTATGTAATATAAAGGTTACTTTATCATAATCATTATTATTGGGATGTCCGGAAAATAATGCAGGATTTTGGTTTAAAAAGAAAAATTTTATTTAATCAAAATAAATATATAGTCTCCACTACTATCAATACCTTCTACCAACGTGTTGGCAACTTTCCTATTACCTCAGAATAGAATTTCCCATATTTAGAATTGATCTAACAAGGCATTTTTTAATTCCCTTTGTCACGCAAGTAGTGGTCCAGCTGTCTAAAAAAATTATATGAATGAATAAAAAATGTAAAAGTTTAAAATGAGTTTCATATCAAAGCTTCAACAGTATTTGAGATCTCACATGTGAGACATGTGGTAAAGCGTTGTCATGCAACAAAATGGGCCCTTTCTGATTGATCAAAGATGGCTTCATTAATGCCAATTTCTGAAGCATTGCATTAATTTGGTTACAATACGATTCAACATTGATAGTCATTCCAGAAGCAGTAGTGTATCAAACCAAATGAAGCCCACTAAACAGTAACCATAACCTTTTTTTGATGAATTGGGTCTTTGGAAAATGTTCTGCTGCCCTTCCTTTGTCGAGCCACTGTCCAAAACATCTACTGTTAACTTAAAGGCCGGTCCACACGCTCCGTTTTGCACAACGTTTTGTCTGCGCAGTCTTAAGACGGAATGAAAACGTTGCAATTTGCAGAGCGTCCACACGGCACAGACATATCCGTATATTTTGCTCAGTTTTGTGTGAGATCGCCATGGAGGAGGTACTACTCTGGTCGATTTTCGCGATGTGTATTGTTAAAAAAAAAAGATTGGAACATCTCAGAAGTACCCTTCTAAAAAGGCAGCACTTTTCCCATATCAAATTATTGCGTGAATTACGTGATGAACCTAATGATTGGCGGAACTACTTGCGAATGGACATTGACACATATACTTATTTATTGGAATTGGTGACACCGCATATCAACAAAGAAAATACTTGTATGAGAACAGCAATATCAGCACATGAAAGGCTAACAGCAACTTTAAGATTTCTAATGCCTTGGTGTCTCCTGATCATTCAGGAAATGTAACAAATCAAAATACCAGAGAGATGGCTTGTATATTTCGTCTTCTCCAGCCCCAGATCGAATCGATTTATTTATTTTAGCCAATTCTTTTCGGTACACGCTTCTCAATGAATTTATTTTTTTCACAACTGTCTCCCGGTTTGCCGTTACATCAATTTCTCTAAATTTATTAGCTAAAATTTCATACGCCTCCGCCTTCTTATCCCTGTCACTGTATTCTTTTGATTTTACACGCCAAATGCACGGGAAACTTTCATACAGAGCAATAAAATCAGTTAAAAACTCCCTAGAATATTGCCGAAGGTCAGCCATTGTCGCCCGACGGATTGAAACTGAGTAGCAAAACGGATCGGAAAACGGTGCTACCGTCCACATACGCCGACTTGCCTGCGCAGTTCAAGGAAATCTGAGCTGTCTGGCTCAGTTTTACTAAGACTGTACTGTCTTCCAAATGGATTCAAAACTGCACTGTTTTCCAGTCCACACGTAACGTTTTATCTGCAACGTTTTGAACTGCGCAGACAAAACGTTGTGCAAAACGTAGTGTGTGGACCGGCCTTAAAGCATCCACTTTTCATCACAAGTAACATTTCTGGACAGAAAAGGGTTGTTTTTGATTCGGCAAAGAAGTGTAGCACAAATTTTATTACGCTGTTTTTTTTTTGGCGGTCATTTATGGTGTGTGTAAGTGTGTGGAACCCAACTTTCAAGCTTTTTTATTTTTCCAATCACCTTGAGATGGTCATCGACGGTCGATTTGCTAAGATTAAGTTTCTCTGAAAGTTCTTGAACAGTTGTTCTATAGTTTTCTTCCACCAATGTCCGCAGAACATCGTCATCAGGAGAGGAAGTCCTTTCACGACATTCTTTGTCTTCAAGGCTGAAGTCTCCCTCCCGAAATTTTTTGAGCCACCATTGAACAGTGCACTTATTACTCCTGCTTTCGCCCCTAACTTGATTGGTGTTTCAGGGTGTCTAGGCCCCATTCCTGACGAGTGTAAACTCGTAAAACAAAATTATATGAAAATCACACGTTGACATCTTAGTTAAGACTGAATTATTTCTAAGTAGTGAAATGCTACAGAGATAATCAAACAGTATCATTTGGAAGAGGATTAATAAGTGTTATCATTCATACAAAGGAATAATCCAGTAAACATACAGTTTGTTATAGGTATTTTAAAGAAAACTCAAAATCCTGCATTATTTTCCAGACAACCCAATGTAGCTTTACTCATTAATAAGTTAAATAATGACAATGACTTATTCTTTATAAGAACAAAAACGATTTCATAATGTCGATTAAACTTCTAATATATCATGCATGATAGATATCTAATGAGAGAAATTCCCGCACAGGTATACTAATAGTTACACTCAACTGTTAACAAATCTAAAATTTATAATCAAGAATAATATTGGTCAGGGAATATTACTTTATATTTTCAAAAAAAAAATTGAAAAATATGTAAACTATTCCCAGTAGTAAATTACTTGACTGTGTTCAATTTTTTATCAAAGGCTTCTTTTCATTTTTAAAAACAGTGAGATACAAAACTTAAATAAGTCAGTTTTTATTACTCTAGAACAAGTTGAAAACTTTCAGAAACTAAATGTATAAATTACCTTGTTGGATAAGGTTAGTAGCTTCACCAACCTTCAGTTCAGAAGCAACTGAAGCATCGGACAATGGCACAGATTTACTTTCTCCATTTTCCACAACCGTGACATTTCTATTTCAAAATTGCACTATTAGCATTTAATTTAAGAAATATTAAAGCCATAATTTACAAACAGAAATAAGATCCTAAAAGAAATTTGAATTAACTCACTTTTGTGTTTTGTTGTTTTCCGAATTGGTCAAGATTCTTTTTTTGTCATCCTGGGACAACAACTGAGCAGCATTAACAACTTCACTGTAATTAATAAAAATAAGTATAATTAACGATAAACTTAATAAAAATATGATTTGTCAATATTTCAAAGAATACTTAAGTAATACTTCATCATACTGACCCTGTATATGGATTAACAATAGTCATTCCTCTTCCTTTACCAGTTTTTCTTACTTCCTTTTTTGTGTTACCCGCTTGGAGAGCTTTCCTCCTACCAGTGTTCTTTAAAAAAAAAAAAAAATGTATATATATAAATAAATACATGTATATAAATATAGACACAAAGGAAAATTAGCTATAATATAACATCGATTGGTTGGAAGAGGATCGATGGTTGACTGGAGTGAATAATTTAAGAGAAGTTGGTTGGGGTGTTCAGTCAAAAATAAAAAGTAAAAATAAATAAATGATATTTATTTTTATTTTTGCCTGTATTTATTTTTTATACAGCTATAATAAGCTTTAAAATTATCTTATATCATCATTGATTAAAAGGATTAATAAAAAACATTATTTTAATTAAAAAATATTGCTAATATCGAAAAAAAAGTGTTTACGGACATTTTTAAAAACAAATAAAACTAAAATTATCATTTTATTATTTTTTTCATTCTATAGGATCTGAAAGGCACATGTTAAAATTAATACTATCATCTTCTTGCCTTTGAATGAAAAAGTATTCAGACTTAATTGTTTAAAAGTTTACTTGTAACTTAACTTATTAAATTTCTTTTAAAAAAATAAAGTTCTATTAAGTCATTAATAATAATAGTATAAATAGTAGTATAGTATGGTATATAATATATAGTAAGTATAGCATAAATAGCAGTAAGTAATTGTTTTTGCATGATCTAAACAAATATTTTTGAATTTGAATTTGAAATTTTAAGTTCTGGCCAATCCAAATTATTTTATTTATAATACATTTTCTCAAACAATATACAAAAAGAACCTACCTGTGGTGGCGGTGCCATTAGCCTGCAGTTAGGACCCCAATGCCCGACAACGACACCAGCTATTTCAAGTCTGCCACCAGTGGTCATACCTAAAAGCAGTGGAATAAAGATCTAAGTACCTGATTAAATTATTATTAATGATCCAAATTATATTAATGAACTATTTTTCGATTAAATATTTTTTATTTAGAAACACGCAAATTACCTCTCCCTCTAATGCTGGGTTGTAAGGCACCTCTGGTAACTGGATTAGCCTGGCGTCCTGGTGGAGCTGTTGCCATACCTGCAGGCATTACGGCATGGACTCGGGAAGCTTCACCTAAAGAAAAAGATAGTCTAAGTATATTTATTCGAATTTTATGTCCTACGGTGGTTTGGGTTTAAATGTTTAATTTTTTAGGTTTAAGAAAATCAGAATGCTAATGGTATGGAATAAAAATGTACTTAAAGGTCAGGAAAAGAGGAAGATGTACTTCAAAAGCATCATTGACATGATGGTAATAAAAGACTTCATTTTATAAAGAGAACTTGCAGTTTTCAAAGATTCAACATGCAGCATTTATCAATATCAGAAAAATAATTATATATATATATATATATATATATATATATATATATATATATATATATATATATATATAGTTAAAATAAACATAATTATTATCTACACTTCATGCATATACAATATTAACAAATATAATTACTTATTGAAAGAGGAGCTAGGAGAGGAGGACGGGCCCACTGGACGTAGAGACCATCAAGTATAGCTTCTCTCATTCTTTCAACCTTCATAACTTGTGGAATTCGATGACCACAAAGTTCAAGGAGGTTCTTCACGGTAGCAGCCCTTGCTAATTGAGCATGCAGCAATTTGCCTAAAAAAAATAAATAAATATTCTAAAATTTTGTTTGTCGTCTTTCAACTGACACAATTAATCAACAATTACTACATTTGATGCTGACAATATAAAAAGTTCAAAAATTATGCTTAAAACAAAAAAATGATTTAATAAAATTTTATGGTGTATCAGATCAAATGTCTTTCTTCAAATCCATTTATTACAAAGTATGAAAGTTAAAACAAAAAAGTAATTTGACTGAAAGGTTTCAATAAGAGTTTTCAAGTATGATAGGTTGGATATTAAACTATGCTTTCTAAAGAATAAAAATATTTATAGATGTAATACAATTGAGAGAAGGCAAAGATAAAGTTGATGTTTTCAATTTAAAATATAAAGATGTGTCTACGCAGTTCCAAATAATGGTGAGCATATTCTGGAAGATCAAAATGAGATATTTGATTTGCACATCGTTGCCTGCGTTTATGACCGATCCTACCAGTACAGTTTACTATTGCTTTTAGAACACAAATTAAAAGATACTTGCAGAAATTGCCAAATAATCTCTCAACTGTCAACCGATATTCCCATTTTCACTCGTATATCTTCAAATTTAAACTTTAGTAATGTGAACTAAATTATATAGACGATACATGTTTGACATCCTCAAACTTATTTCTCTGGAACAGAAATACATAAATACCTCCATGTGTTAGTTTTTTTTTTATTACTAAGCATTTAAAGATGTTTAGGGCTGACCGGGTTAGCTTACAAGACAAATAAATGAGCTTTTACATATTCTAAAATGAGGTTTATATTTTAAGGCCCTACATACCACATTGCTATATAACCCCTATAATATATATTGTTAAACGATTTAAATTAAATTAAAAAATTGTGTTTTCCACTAAATAACTTAAAAACATTTGGACTAGTAGGTAGTATTTCACAAGTACTGCCCAAAGTAACTACTGGCAGTTCACTACTGCACGGAAGGAATATAGCATACCAAGTTTCACTGGCAATGTATGGCAGTCAAAGGTATGAAGTATTCTTTCGATCTCCCTTGAGAAGCCCTACAGTCGACAGTCCGATGATTTTAAGTTATGTTATACCCAAAAATTTTTTGGTGATAAGTCACATTTTATATTTCCAAGTCGTGTATATTACTTATATTAGATTAAAGCTCCATCTCTGTTTATATTACTTCTCTTGAACAAGCAGTAATAGATGGCTGATACGGTTGAAAGTACTAAATAAATTCTATCTCAACAATGCCAGGAGGAAAATCTTTATCTTTATTGATCAACCATTCGATAGAATGTGTAATATAAAATATAGCAATAGTTTTAGGTAGATATGTTTAATGAATCCATGACATTCCAAGGAAATATTTTGTAATGACTATGATATCAAGCATGTATTTATTCATCATTTTCAAGTGACAAAAGTAAAAGGAAAAAATATCATATTAAATACCAACTACAGACTACAAACCTCAACAAAATCAACATCATGTATATTTATATATAATAGAATATAACTGAAAATTATTTTTAAAGACAATTCATTTAGATAATAATTCATAAAAATTATATAACAGTAAAAAAAATAGGTATTTGGCTTTTATTCTTGATGGCCTTGGATTGTCTAGCCAGTTTGGCTGAATATTCTCTCTCTAAATCGATTGAAGTAGTGTGACGTCACAAAAACTGATATTAATATTTATGGATACTATAAAATTCAGAAAAAATACGTATCTATCTGCAAACCAATATTAATACGAAATAAATTAGATCTTGTCATCAATTCCTATACAAAAGAGTTGATTAATTTTTACTTTCACTTACCTATATATGGAATATATAGTAAGAGAAAGTATAGCGATCGTGAAAATTTTCGAATCTCAGTTTTTAACGGAAATGTTTTGAGGTTCCTTGAGTCAAAATAACCAAGTCCCGCAAAATGGTCTGTGTGTGCGTGCATGTGAACGGTCAAGCTCAAAAAAAAAAGAAAAAAAAAAGATGTACGAAAAACTTAAATTGCATATTGAACGTTTGTATATACCTTGCATGTTACAGCAACTTTTTTGTTAAAATCGGCTAACCGGAAGTGCCACTTTATATCAATGGTGATACACATTTTTACGATTTTCTCGAAAACGGATTGATTGATTAAACGAATATTCTTACGAATATTCCAGGTCTTACCCACATTGATATTACTTTACAGAGATTAAATGACCAATGTTCATATAAGTCTTCCTCTAAAGTACCTTTAATTTTAAAAAATAACTCTCTCTTATTGACAGTAACTATAAAATATAACTTTTGAAAGAATTTGATAATTGAATAAAGGAGAAAAAAAAAATGCTTATCCAGTTCGAAAATGAATCTCCAGAAATAATAGTCAGATGATATACATATAATATATCATTGGAAACCGGAGAATTAAAAAAAAAAATATCTAATAAATAAAATTGTAGAAGGTAACGGACAGACAAAAAATATAAATAATAATTTCTGAAAACTAATATTATTTAGCGTAAATCACATGTTTCCAAGGAAATTAAATGGAATTTTCTTACTTAATGAAATCATTAATATTTTTTTTTTTTTTAAGTTTGAAAAAAGTATTTAAAATCCACCGAACCAAGGCAATGACATTGTTTAAAATATTATTTCATTGTATTTGTGTGAAATAAAAAGTAACAATAACAATATTTCTTAGATATGTAACCTTAAATACATTCACTGTGGTGTAATAACTCTAGATCTGATATTATAATTAAATAATTAGGGATCTATCGTGTTTATTTCGAAAAATCATCATGTATACTTCTCGAAAATTTAATTAGTCGATAATATAATGAATTTTTCCTTTGTGATAACCTAACAATGATATCCACTTACAATTAGTATGACAACTTTTGACCTGTCTATGACAGGCAAAGCAAATCTCATAATTTTATTTTAGTAAACTTTGCAATGGAAAAAAAAACAGTTTAATAATTAATAATCAACGGATCTACAATCCATAATCAACCGTAGATATAATAAGTAGGATTTTTGTTATTTTAATGGCATTAATGATTTTTAAACTGTAAGCTTTAAGCTTCAGCTCAGTTAAAAATGCACTTAAAAAGGAGAATATGTTCACTACTCTTGGTTGTAGATGAAGTTTTGTGGACAAAGTTTTGTGGTTGTACAGACATTACAGATCCTCAAAATGTTGAAGTCTTTGATCGCCACTTACAAAGTATATTAACCATTCACAGTAATTAGCAAGAGCATTAACTTGAAATTTCTTAAGAGGTGATTCTTGCATCGAAACCTTTTCATCCAAATCAAATTAATAGTCTTATAAATAGTTTACCTAATTGTAAATATCCTGGGTTCAATCTCATAACTAACCATATTTTAAAGAATTTACAAAAACAAAAAATATATATATTTTTATAGACAGTTTACGATTTTATGGAAATAATCAATAATTATGATTTATAAACCCAATAAGCCTATAAATAGTACCAATCTTACTACTAAATCAGTCTTCTGCCTACTATATCTAAGGAATTTGAAAACATTTTTTGGTGTCTAAATTCACTTCGACTATTTGATATCATTATGTATTTCCAATTTCTATATAAAAGAAAAATACTTAATAATAAGTACAGACATTTTTGAGCTCCTTCAGCCTTCATTTACTGATTTTTTAAAGCCAATTTGTTTTCTTATATTGATATTGCATTTTAAAAAATAAAATGAACTTTTTTTATTAATTTATTTTGTTCAGTTGAAACTTACCTAAATAGAAAAAAACATTTTTTAAACTAAAGTTATTACATACCATGATTAACTCCAATTTAATTTATATCATTCCCTACAATTTTATGTAATACATTGGGGAGAATATGAACCTCATGGATTGTATGATAGTACTGCATTCTTATTACATTATCATTACAAGTTATAACTTTTTAAAAACTCATATATTTTAATACTCACATATTTGATCATAGAATCCATACTAGTAACATCATTAAAAGAATAATGTAATAATTTATAGTAATTATGAGAATAAAAACTTCATTAAACAATAATACTAATCTTGTAGTGTTTAATATAATGTAAAAAAACAATATCTAAAAATACCTTGTTTTTGAGAGCCATAGCAAAAACTTAAAATTGAACCAGCTACCTCATACCCGATTGAAACCAAATGCTCAAAACAAAAAAAATTTATAAATTATAAGAAAACTTGAAAATGGAATTTAAAGACCGGACGAGATAACTCCCCCTTCACCCTGTTTGACGTACCTCCTAAGGTCCTTGAGCCTGTTTTGTCCTTTCATAAAATATTATAGAAGAGGGCACTTCGCTTGATGTATAACTTCTTTTTGCAATTTAGAATATTTTTTCATTCTCAGAAATAAGTGGTAAATTTCACGGTCATATATTGACACTTATTTCATAACATGAGATTGACACTCCCTGCTCAGAATGATTGCAATGTTTACTATTTGATGTAGTGAAACTTGATTTGAATTAATTCATATTTGATGTCAGATAAGCAGTATTGTTTTATGGGGAAAATTACTTGACATATCATATACTATATCCATTCATTATCCGGATCCTCATCCCTATGGAACTCAATCCCTTCCCACATCTGTCAATCCAATGCCTTTCATACCTTTAAATCCAGCCTGTTCAATCATTTCTTATCCATCCCGTTCCAAAAAAATTGTAAATAGATACTATTGTAAATATCTATATAAATTATTAGTTTGTTCTTTATTATTTTTCAATTTTTATTATTAACTGATTAAAATTAGAAAATAACTTATAATTTTTTTTATTATGACTATTTAATTACTCTGTATTTTTTGTTTATGTATCTCTGAGGCTCCTTAGCCCACATTTCTGTCTTATTCTAAAGGAACTCGTCCCAGAATAAATAAAGTATTATTATTATTATATTCTAAATCCTAATACAATATCGATAATTGTTTATCAGTCAAAATAAAATTAGCACCGAAATAAGTTTGACATATCATATGTATACTTGATACCTAACATTAAAATGTAAATTTTATTTGACGAATAGTGATTCTGAATGCGATTGCATTGTGATGTCACCGATGTTTTTAAATTTTCTGACTTATGGTGTTTTTCCATATAATATCCCTTGACATTTCAATAGATACCCAGTGGTTAATAATTTTTCCTATTTAATAGTTCCAACACCAATTTATCATAATCGAATATACCCCTTAAAACTACAAATAATCACTGTCATGAATAAACAAATTTTATTTATAATATTTCTGATGTTCTGACCATCGAAATAGAGCCAGGGGGGAGACATCAGCCATGGAATAGGAGCACCACAAGCTTCGTTAACAATCAGAGCATATTCCACTCCGGTCATCACAAGGCAACCAAGCTGAACACCTCTGGGAGACACACACTCCACCTAAAATAAATGAAAACTTAATATTATATTTAATTTCATATTATAGAAACCACATTATCAAGGCAAATCAATTCATTTAGTTGTTAATACAAGTAGACTGGACGAAGTAATCATTTAAACCACTATTACCACCAACAATAGACCACTAATTTTAAATTAAAAGACAACCTACTCTTATCCCTCTCTAGGATGCTTTGCTCCTTTAACTATTTAACAACTACATTTTTCACCTAAACAGATTATTAAAAGGAAGTTAAAGGTCAAGTATTGAAGAAAGGTTCCCTTTCCTATTTTTTAAAGTTAAGAATACAAACAAATTTTCTTACTATAAAAACCTATAAATGCACTAAAGCATAAATATACAGCTTGTAATTTTTTTTTTTTTTTTACTAAGGTTATTAAGATGTAAGTACAATAATTTTTGTAATTAAAATAATAAGAAATCGAGAGTATAAAATCCAAATCTAGGAAACTGAATTTTTTCACAAGCACTAAATGAAGTTAAGATAGTTTTAAGAAAGAGGTAGTTATTTTAGTCTGACAGATATTATCAATTATACAAAATACTTCAGACTTAACGAATACTTGTTAGATGCGGCAATAATAAAGAGAATAGGAATGTGAGTAAATAATCAGCTATCGAAACTCATTTATATATAATTATAACTTACAGAAAGTTCCTGATTATACTCCGAGTTAGAAAGCTGCGGATCCATAGCAGTTGCGATAATGGCATCCAACTCATGTTTCCTTAACACTCCTTTGTCGGGGAAAGACATTATGTATCTAAAACAAAATTGTCTTTATATTACTTATTCTATTGAAAACACGGAAATTTAATAACTTATACTTGGCAACTGTGGTCCAAGACTTCCATAAAAGTCCTATACTGCACTTATTTATTTTATCATTTAATTTCTTCGACATCATTTAATAAGAAGATAAAATAAAAAAATTAATTAATGGACTAATGTTTTAAGTATGTATGTATCCAAATCAGCTAGTATAGTTATTATTAAAACCTCTAATTTTAGGAGATAGTTATCTTCTAAAACCACATGGAATGAATTTATTATATTAAATAAAAGATGTTTCATGTTATGTCCTAATTGGTTTAAATTCATTTGAGTCAAACTTGATATTAATGATTCAATTTTGATTAACTGTCAGCGGAAAGTCAAATAATTATTTTTATTTAATTATGAACAAAAGAGCTTTAAAAAAAAGTTACAATTGGATGATAATTTTTCATAATGATTCTGTATGTCATGTGTAAATTTTTACTACCTATCGATGATGTAGAGATGGTTGACCGTTGATATGATATGAGAAGGAGTTAGTCGAGGAGGAGTTAGGATATTTTTTTATTTATTTGACCGCACCCTCGACTAACTCCTTCTCATTTACTACCTATCATTATCTACATGCCAATTTGAACAAGATTAATTATAATTATTTTTTAAAATAAAAAACTAGCAAAAAACTGAACTTGTAAGTAGCGTTGCCATCCCTAAGAGAATTTACGTATTCATAAAAGATTTATAAGTGTTATATATATGCCTAAGAAAATTAATCTCAATTCTTTAAATTTTTTATATTGCAGAAATTAGTATATTAAAGTGCTTTTCTAATTTCCATAAAAAAACAACCACACTGAACATAAAATAATTATATAATTTATCGAACACCATGGATAAGAAGCTGTACGATAATTAAAAAACGAAGATTTGTTATTGAAAAGAAACTTTGTTATGTAAATAAACCTATAAAATCCATGATGGTTGAAAATCGAAACAGTCAATTAAAATGTCTTGTTTAAAAACTTAACAATGTCAACCGACCTTAAAGATGTAAGTATTAAAATATTGCATTAAAATATTATATCTATCAGAATAAAATATATCAATAAATAGAAACTATAGTTGTACATCGAGAAGAAAGTCGATAACATACCTCAAGACAGTTGCGAGAACCAAAAGGTGTTGAGGAACATAACTTGGATTAAGCATTAACTGAGTGTCACTTCTCATACACGTGAGATAAGCCCGAAGTCGTCTCCTTTTATCATCCACAGTTGTGCTACAGATTAACAAATGCTACTATTAATCAAAAGGTATATTATCTGAAACTTAAAATTGTCTTTAATGTTAAAATATTATTTCCACAAGTTAAATTATAAAAACAAGATAAAACATACCCAAACCAGAGCCTCTGTATTGTTGGCACCCCCCAACCCAGTGGTTCAGCCCTGATAACTTCTGGACGTTGGTATGGATTAGGTTTACTCCAAACCCATTCTTTAATTTTGATCTCAGGAATTTTAATTTCACCACCTAAATGAAATTTTTTATCATAATTATAAATCATTGCAACTTCTGTAAAATTTTCTTGTACAAATATATTGTAATGGCAATCAATAATTTTGACAAGAATTTAAAAACAGCAATTAATTAGGTTTAACATAACAAGGAGTTTATCCTCCATCTAAACTTCACTAACTCATATTACTTAAACTGAATATCAACTGCTATTGACAACACTCACCCTTAGGAGCAGCCTGCCTGGCAAGGTAAGTAAGATGATGAAGATTGAAGAGGATAGCGTAGACCATTCGACGGAGCGGCCTATAGAACAATTGAATAGAAGGAATTTCTTTATGGCTCTCATCTTCCATTACCACTGGTAACCGAACTTCTCCCTAGAAAAGAAAATATAAGAATAAAAAAAATATAGTATTTAAAATTAATAAATATATTTAATCAGTAATATTAACATAAAACATGAAATTCCACCTTCATAGGCATAGGAATATTAATAATTGAATAGACAAGGATTTAAAGTCGAAGTATTATGTCAATTCCTATAAAAATGGTGGACCACTAATAAAAGAAATCTTTAAAACATGAAAGCTAGCTGGAACTTAGCAAATTAGAAATTACTAGTTTACCACAGTAACTGCTCTCTCATTAGATCTCTCTCCCTAATGCATTTGATGTATACAGAACATCAGCGAAACATGTTTATACCTATATATAATAAAATATGATCATGATACTCTGCTATTCAATACAAAAATTCTAGTCTAATTATTTAATCACGAATTTCCCTTATTTTATTTAAATCAAATCCTTGTCTTATTAATAAAATTATAAAGTATGAGAGTAAATTTTTTTATCTTCAATTCTCTGTTTGGCCAAATAATGGAGTGCGTAACTTTCTTAAAGTTGTTTACCCCTGACCAACTATGTAAGTAATAAGTAACGGAAACCCCTGAACTTATACTAATCCATCATTGTCCTCCCATGAACTATTTGTTTGGGACATTAGATAGCTTGGGTTTTAGTTTTTTCACTAAGAGTATAGAAGTCTCATTACCAAGAGTAGAAGCCATATCTGATTTTTTATTTTTTTATTTATTAATTATACCAAGAAGTTTCATTCAATATTGTATACATCCATAACCATCAACCTTTTAATAATTTTTTTAATTTGTCGTAGACTACAACATAAAAGCAATATTTCAATTTTTAAAACCTATACACATCAAAGTATCTCAAGGCACCTAAGAAGTATTCGGCAAAAATTACATTTATCTCAATAAAGGAACATTTTTGGTCTTTAAAACACAGAACATAAAATTTCCAATGGAACAAACTGGGTCTTGATTGAGTTTCGAAATTTTTAAAATACATTTATCTCATCTCGATTCGTTGACTTTGAAAACATATGAGTTTTGAAATCACTGAATATTTTCAATGACTTATATTGAATATGTTAAAGAAATTTCAGGATAGAAATTAGAATTCATCACTTTCCTATGAAATTCCCTTTCATTTAATACATCATTCGACAAAATATATCGTCCCTCAAAGCTACCTCTACTGCCGTATTATATATACAGTAAGTATGTGAATTCAGAAATATACAGTGAAAGAAAATAAACCATTCTACAATTAATTAATATTTATAAATAGATACAGTTCTTAATTTTATTTCTACATAAAAATGATATTAGGAAGGCAAGAAATTCTTACCGTAGTGAGGAGGCGATAGATAAATGGTGACATCAAGCCTTTGCTGTGGCGCTCACAAACAGTTCTAAGAATCTCAGCAGCAACAGGAGGAAGTTCTTTCTCATCTTTCTGTCATTATAAAATTTAATTAGCATTTAATGAAATAGTGTTAAAAAACAAAATAAAGAAATTTTCTCTGAATAATAATAGACCTGATTATTTGCTGCTGCCATGAGACTATCGATTCTTGCTGGAGAAGTAGCTCCAGAGCTTGAACTGGAATTAGAGCTTGTTAACAATAAATGATTGGTCCCACCATTCACTGAAACAAAAAAAACCTCTTCAGCTAGGTTCAGAATTTATATCTGTTACGCAATATTTTAACATAGAATGAATAATTTTATAGTTCATAAAATTTTACTCCATATTTTATACCTTGTGCATTAACAATTGATGAGTTTTCTTTGGTTTCCTCAACATTAATCTCTGGTCCAACTGAGAGACAAGCAACGGCTTCAGAGACACTCATAAGCCCGGCAAGCTAAAAAAACATAGCATTCAAGTTTCATTCCATTATACCTATATATTCCACTCTCCTAATATATCAATAATAAATTAACTGATATATATTCTAATAAATAAAATTCAGTAAATTTACCTCATTACCACCAGCTTCAGAGGCGAGCCTTGAAGTATCAAGCCCAGAACTTTCAAAACTTTCAGTCTTTTCTGATTCATTTTTCAAAAGAGATTTGTTTTTAGCCTTTTTCAAATCTGAAATAAAATAATAACATCTTAAGAATTCAAAGTTCTATCTATTTTTTAAATATATTAACAATATACAATGAATACAAATAAATTTTGTAAAGCTATAACACTGTTTTTAAATTATACTTAAATACCATTTGAATATTAATATAAAACCTCCTTCATAAATATCAGCACCAACACTTAGGGAATACTGGGGAGGTGAGGAAGTTACAATGACATAAATTAATTCTTAGCCCAGTCATTAGTTTATAAACTGTAATGTAATTATTATTAATATGATTTACTGACTTATTTAGAGAGTATTTTTTAAGTAAATAACCATAAAATATTAGCACCTATGTTATATTAAATAGTATAAAAATATCGGAAAACAAACAAGCAAGATTTTTTTTTTTCAACAATGTACCTTTCTTGATAATGGCCTATAGTCCAAAAAGTTAGAGTAAAAATAAATAAAAGTTAAACCAATATGATTGAAGGAATTTAATTAGTTTAACAATTATTATAATTAAAAACAGTTATAATTAGTAATTCGTTATCATCACTGAGATGACAATTAAACTGGTCAGGAGATAACTGGAAAATGTATGCTGTATGTAGTTGTAGTGCATGTATGTATGTCTGGACACATAAAATTTGTAACAGTGAACATGAAATGGAGTATCAAAACTACTATTTAAAAACTGACAAAGTTGGAACTTGGTTATTACATCATTAACTATTTATAAAAAGCATATGATTAAGTTTACATACCAGCTCCAGATGCTCGATATTTTAAGAATCCTCCTTTAGTGCCATCTAAATAATACTGAACAGCTCTTCTAAATTTGGCAGCCCGATCACCACCAACCGCACCGAAAATTTCTAATCCAGCTTTGTCTAGGTCACTTGTGTCTAACGTTTTAACGAATTTCGCAAGAGAACGTACAAGCTCTCCACACATGTCCTCAGCCTATAATGAATAAATATTGAAATTTCAGTACAATTATTATCTAATGGAAGGAACATGTAAACAAATTTTCACAAATTAGTGAGTTAATAAAGTAAAAAATCTCTACCGGAAGTACTAAAAGAAATGCAATTAATAACTTCCCCAAATGATCCAACTAAGAACTGAGAAATATTACAAACCTTAACAACTTTTCCAGATATCAATTTTCTGTGCAAATCAGAAAGTTCAGTCTCAGGAAGGAGAAAATTTCCTAATAATGCTGCAACGATACAAAGTTCATCCCCCGTAATGTTTAATCCTTTAATCAGTTCTGAAATTATGTATTCTTTGGATTCGAGAGTCCCCTGAAAATAAGTATTAAATTAGACAAAAAAAATAAAGGAAAGAAAAAAAAGTATAAAGAACAAATTAAGTAAGACTAACTTACTTTATAAGTAAGTTTTAAATGTCTAGCAGAAAAGTAGCGGGGAGGATCAAATGCAATATATTCAGCATCGTCTGCTACAATCCCATGGCATTGATTCTCACGACAAAATGCTATTACCTGAAAGAATAAAAATTATAAACTAATTAGGTCAAAGCTAGAACAAAGTTAAGGAACATAGAACACGAAATAAAAACAAGTGGAAAATATAAAGGACAGGGAAGATAACAGAAAGAAATTAAAATCACTAAATAATGAATACAGAAAAATATTATGAGAATTAAATTTGATTTGTCTGTACCATTTTTCAAGTTCTTGACATTTGTTTTTATGTCTATCAATTTAGATAAGCTAAACTAATATATTAAAATAAATATTTGATAGCAACATTTTCAGCATGTAAGGCCAACTCAGTTATTTACTTTAATGAATATATAGCATAGCATATCTAAGATTATGAATCTGCTTTATCTAAGATTATGAATCCATATATTTTTAATTAATTTTTTAAAGTTTTAAATATAAAATTATGTATCGAAATCAAACTAATCAATATTCAGAAACATTAAAACAATATCAAATATTTTTGCCTTCCTCTGATTTTTATTTTTTATTAAAAAATCATTTTACGTCGACATTGTAAATTTTTATCTTGTTTTATAGATAAATATTTTATTAAATAAATTAGATAGTATCTGATTTTTAAATTCTATTTACAAATCTTAAAAATATAAAATATAAACATATAAATTTAATTTGTAAAATTTTATTTGAAAAAGTTGGTCAGGAGTGCGGTCGATATATAATACTACATCATATAATAGTATTATATATTGATCGAACCCTCAACCAACTTCTCAAATTATAATTACGGTCAACCATCTCCAAACCTTTAGAATTTTATTATTTAAAAAATAAATAATATAAAATCTTAACAATATGTAATAAAAAAAGAAACTTTTAATGAGTAACCTTATACTTTTCAAAAGAAGAAACTAAATAAGGAGGAAAAATAGCATATTCTTCCATCATAATTAAGTTTATTCATTTTTTAATCTTAATATTTTAATGGATTGGATTATAAAAGAAATAATGCTAAAATAATCTTTGACATGAAAATTTGAGTCCTTATTGTTGCTAAATGTTATTGCCATTCTTGCTCCTCCAGCTTCTATAGATCAACTAAAACAAGTCAGTTGAAGGTGCCTCATCCCCTTTAAGTAAGGTGTGGTACAGATCCAACTTATTAAGATTAGAATTAAATTTCTGGGGTTTACTCATCTTAATTGTTAACTTTATTCAATCTTAATTTGATAAATTATTATAAAATTTTATATACTAAAGTATTAATAAATGAATATTTCATATTAAATATAATATTCAGGTATACATACCTCCTGTTTATGATCATCCATGGTCACAATAACTGAGACATTAAGATTTCTTAGCACCATACGGAGAGTGGGGCGAAGGCATGATGGAGGCGTCCACCAAACCTTAGGAGGTGGTGTTCCTTTGTTAGCAAGATGTCTCAGCACCTTAAACATTATTAACACTGATTAAAAAAAATTCAACGAATAAAATTTGAACAAAAACAATGAGATCTGAACAAGACAGATCTCATAATACATACTACAACTGAAGTTGCAATAAATGGAACATAACAATAAGACCTTTATGTTAAGAATTTATTAATGTTTTCAGAAATTTGAATATAGTAGTTAAAAAAAAAAAAATTCTGAATAGAAGTAATTCATTAAAATGAATGGCTATAGGAGCAAAACAAAACATCTGAAGTATAAGAACCAAAATTATTAAATATTACAGATTTCTCCTAAATAAATAAAATATATTATTTATAAATATATTATAAGGTTATATAAATGTTGGGCATAATAATCCTGTGATTTATTGCTCTAAAACCCCTACCCTACCTCCCTATATAAATGTATATACAGTGAAATTTTCCATAGCGGACAACTCTACAATCCTTGTCTGATTTCAACAATTTCATGGTACAAACAACCATGGTCGTCGCGTGGATTTTCAGTCCCCCGGAGCGAGATTTTACCGTGTGTGCCTCCCTCCACCATTCCAAATCTGCCAATACATATTATACACATATACATATTACTTAATGCTTAAAAAGAGAAGGAAAGATGAATATAGAGATAATAATGATAAAAGACATAACAAAATGAAAGTTTGAAGTACAATCACTGCCAACATACTCCCATGCCATCCATCATATTGGCATAAAACAAAAAATTGAATGTTTTTTAAAATAATTTTTTATTGATGTTGGAACACAGCAGGAATTGGCCAATCCAACCCAGGCACCTAAGTCAGCTGTTTGATACCGTCTTTCAGGGTGTTCATATCTACAGTTGACTTTAAATGCCTCCTAACCAATATAATATGGATGAATGAATGGAAAAATAATTTTATTCTGGGACTATCATACCCTAAGAATAAATAATAACAGTTACATAATTAAGATATACTATAAATAAGATTAAGGATATTACATATTAATAACTGAGGTTTTTATAAGATCTTGCCCAAGATAATTTAAAAGTGTTAAATTTAATGACTTTATCATAGCTTTCCAAATAATATTTACAATAAATACAAATTAACCTAATATGAAATTTAATTACTTATACAATACACTTACATAGGTATTTTTCTACCCATGTTCAAAACTTTTTCGGAATATATTATTTCTTTAATTCCATGTTGCAGTGCTAAATTAAACAGTATAGGTGAGAGGGAATCACCTGGTTTTAAACCCAAAAGAAAGAAAAATGGCGTAAAGGGTTTTGATGGTTCATCCCTTTTTATTATGGGCAAATAATTTTTTGAAAAACTTTACCTACTAATTTAATTTATAACTAGTAGCAGGGACAGAACTAGGGAGGGCCAAAGGAGGTGGTAGTTCTCCTGGGTGACAGAATTTAGGAGACAACAAATTTTGAAAAAAAATTTTGTAACTTAAAAAAATTGTTTTTTCTATTTTTTGGTCCTTTTGACCTTAATTAAGTTAGTAACACCAGTCAATTATATCTGATGATGTTTATTTTGAAATACATTGCCTAAAATACTGATACAAAATGTTGGATTTTATCGGAAGATGACAAACTTAACTTTAGCTTACCCCTCCTGATCGGTGCCAAAGCAATTTATGCGACTCATTAGAGAAGCAGAGATTGTGAGAGGAACGAACAATGCCAAGACATTAAAATAAAAATTAAAAAAAAAAAAAAATTGACCTTTAATTGCTAATTTATCATAAATGTAATTACACTTTACATATTCAAGAGTGGGTTTGCAAACTAACATTTATGACGTAAGGTTAGCCACCAAACGGGGGAGGGGAAAAAAAAAAGAAAGAAAACGAATTCAAGAATACAATACATAACATTCTTTAATTATATGAAAACAAAAGAAAACTGGTATAAAATTAAGTATATTGAACAATTTATTTCTTATTGATTTGTCCACTTAAAATTTATTGTTTATATTCATTTTTTCATTGTATATACTCTAGAAGCTACTCTTGGCAGGCAGTTCTATTAACCTTGCCAATAAAAGTTTTATTTTTAAGAAAAAAAATGTAAAATTTATGTGAAATATTTCAATATATATATAACAAGTGTTAATGTCAATATCTGAATTGTTCATAGTATAATTAAAGATTATTTAAATAAATATTTACCATTGAGATTCGGTTTCGAGCTTTTAATTGGTCTTCCACCCATTCTCTTGATCTTTGTCCTTGAGGACAACCATTGAAGAAAACAGTTAATTCAATGTTTGAAACATGGAGAGAATTCACAAACTGTCCCAAAAAAGCAGTGACTCTATTCCACTGACCTCCACATACCCAATCTAAAAAATATTATATTGGATTAATGATCAAACTTATGAGAGATCTAAGTAGTGTTGACAAAGAAAAATAACAAGCATTTCTCATATTCAATCTAAGCTTACTCTCCTCTTTAATTTCTTTTTTCTAGTTATCATAGAATCCAGATACCTAAAATTCTGTACCTGTTCAAACACATTTCCTCCTACATCGATATCATTGAAATTGTCACTGTTTTTGCAACTCACCATATATTTACCATCACTTACTATATACTTACCATCTAAAAAAGATTTCTAGGTTAGATATTTAGATAACAAAATTATTGATAACGTTAATTCAACAAACATCTTAAAACTCTAAATATTAATTAAATCAATTTTTTCTCATCTTAACAAATGCACACTTTTCTTCGCAACAGTAAAGCTTTTTGTCACACCCAACTAAATGCTATGATCTTTAAACAATATCTTACAATATTGACACTGCTTCATATTGCAAATATCTATGTTGGCCCAAGCGACAAAGCAACTTGTATGGCATATGGTTTTATTGGAAGATTACAATATAAGCTGACTTCAATTAGTATATCTATAATTCACATTAAGGTGTTAAACCAATAGTAATAATAACAATACAGCTTAGCTAACCCGAAGGTTCGATGCCGATAACACCAATCCATGTCCACATTCTTTCATCCACCAGGCTCTGTCTAAACCCAACCTCACCAGATCAGCCTTATCGCAATCTTCCCACCCAACTTCGCTTTGGTCTAGCCCTTGGACACTTGCCAGTCGGCACAGTGCATATGAACTTTTTAGGCCCATTTTATTCACTTCAACTTAATCATCTCAATTACATTAATTCAGCATTGCATAATTGCCAAAATTCTCTGGTTGACTCATCCTTTTTCGGTCAGAATATTGTGTGCAATACTGTATTTTCAAAAACCTTAAGACGTTGCTAATCCCTTAATGTAAGCGGCTACGTTTCGCATTCATAAAGAACCATAGGAAGGATAATGGTTTTGTAAATTCTAATTTTTAAGTTTCAGGACAGGAGGTGAAATCTAAGTAGTTTTGACAAAGAAAAATAACAAGCATTCCTCGACTTCAACCTAACCTTAATCTCCTCTTCAATTTCTACTTTCTAGTTATCATAGAATCCAGATACCTAAAATTCTGTACCTCTTCAAACACATTTCCTTCTGTATCAAAATTGTCGCTGTTTATGCAGCTTATCATACATTTTGTCTTATTCATATTTATTTCGAGTCCTAGATCTTTACCGGCTTTCACTAATGTTGTTTTATTGTTTCCATGTATTCGCTTAATGAATACAATCATCAGCATACCCAAGCACGGATATTGTTCCTCCCAGGTTCAAACCTTTTTCGGTATATATCACCTCTGTAATGGCATATTCTAATGATAAATTAAACAGGACGGAAGGAGAATCACCTAGTTTTAAGTCCGAACAAACCTCAAATTTCTTGGATAAATAATAACTGATTTCAACTTTATTAAATTTTTCAGACATACACATCCTAACTAGATTAACTAATTTTTTTTGGGATCTCTTGCTTGATTAGAATATTATACAGCATCTGGCAGTCAATGGAATCATAAACCTTTTTGAAATTGATATAAAGCTGATGAACAACACCCTTGTAAACCAATAGTAGTAACATAGGTTGGCCTAATTAAAGGATTTTTATATTCTACCAATAACATCTTGATAAGTTTCAATAATATTTTGTATTGTAAACCAATAGTAGTAAAAAAACAAAATATTATTGAAACTTATCAAGATATTATCGGTAGAGCATAAAAGCCCTTTAAGTAGGCCAACAGATCTTAGTTATTGGTCAAAGAAAAATACTACTTTTGACTTGTAACTGTCAATCAAATAATTACCTATTACTATTATTTAACAATACTTAAAGAAACGTTGACATTTCAAAAATAAGAAAGTATGAACTAAGATGAGCACTGATGATTATTCTATCCCAACCACTCCATCCTGAAGGAAACAAAGAATGACTATAGATATAATATACTGTGTGGATATTTAGGAATGATTGGGAGTGATTAGTATTTCATTTCACCACACCATGACAAAATCCATTCACTCTGTCCAATTGTGAGTGTGGTAAACTGATGAAGGGGAATGATTCACTGTGTATAAACTCTATAAAGCTGAGTATTTGAGCGAAAAATGTTTTAATATTGAAATTCTTCACTTTTTTTTGGTAATCAAATTTAACATTCCATATTTCATAATTTCTTTTTGTTCTCTATCTAAAGTTACTTTTAATTCAGAAAATGTCAAAATATTTAATTCTTGGCTGACATAAAATTATAATTTTGCATCAAGGAAGACTTACAATCATGGAAATTGAAGATTCTATTTCTGGAATTCATTCTCATAAAAAAAAAATTAAACAACTAAGTGAACTGAAGACTTCAAACGTTCAGGCAGGTTTAAAAACATAGTCCTACTACTAAACAAAATTTTAAAATTATAATCGCTGAAAATCGCTCAGGAAATAGCCAATGCTACAAGGACTCGAATTTTGTCCTTGATCAGAAGGAAACTCTTGTCATTTTGTCTTAAGGGTTAGGCTGCCAAAAGAAAACCATTTTTTCGATCTATAAACAAGTGTCGACAAATGTTTGCCAAAGAACACAAACATTAGAAGGAAGAAGAATGGAACAAATTTTGTATGAAGAAATGATTGAAAATTTAAAATGATTGGTTGCTGTAAGGTACAATATATTAGAAAAGTTTTGGAGAATTATTGGATAGATGTTTTACGATCTTAAATTAAATTACTGAAAAAAGATGAATAATTGCAATATTAGAGCAACTTTCACATAAACGCTCCACTCAGCTTCCTGGAGTATATACTCTTGAGGTTACAATAAAAAATAAAGACTGAAGGGAATAAAATAATGAAATTTAAACAGTAAGGTCATTATTCAGAGGATAAAAAACATCAACACAGATTGTTATCTTAGCTTGTTATAATTGAAAATAATGCTAATTTAAATATACCTAGAATGTTTGCAAGGTTAAATCACTTCACAATTAAGAAGTGATTTAATTAAGAAATACTAAAATGCTAATACTACATCTAATCAGTACCAGTCAATGGTAGGTAATTTCATAATCACTGATGTCAAAAAATTAAATATGCTTCTTTCTTTTTAGGAGTTCCTAAATATCACTTCTTAACCATTAATATTATTAAACACTTATCATAGTTTGTTTGTTTTTAATAGTAGGAGTAACAGAAAAAATATGATCTCGGTATCATTTTGGGTAAACAATCTCAGGATTCTTAATAATTTTCTTATTGGTTCATATTGAACATATACCTCCTGAGAAAATTGACCATTAGTTTTACTTTAAATTAGTAAATTAGATTGTGAGGAATTATGTTTGTCTGATAATGTTAAACTTCATTATGTCAACAACCAAATAGTCAGCAACTAATTAAGAACGTTTCTATAAATTTGTAGTAAAAATAAAATAAATAAATATGGTGCAACTGTTTTACAGATCCAAGCATTGCAAATACAGTACTTTAACCTACTAAGGAAGGTTAAAGGCAGAACCAGACAGGGCAGAATTAGGAACAATAAGATCTAGTCTCAGTGTGGAACTACTAAAGGTACTATTTCGCTAGTACTGCCTACGGCAATGACTGTTGAGCACTGCTTTAGTGTAATAGAAAGGAATCTATTTCGTTGGTACTGCTCGGAGGTCTAGGCATGACATCATATCTAGACTTCTCCTTTCTGACCGCTTCAGAAGCAGTGAAGTTGTTGGCGGTATGATAGTTATAGATTATGTTATCATATCTGAGCATTGCTTTGATGATAACATTCACCTTGATACATTTTATTTTATTTTTCATCATCAAGTCAGGCAAAATTAAATGAAATATTGTTTAAAATTTAAACAAAGCTATAACACATCATTTTTTGAAGATTAAAATAACACATTTATTTATTTATTAATTCCACCAAAAGAACATATTTTAACAGAGATATTCAAATATATTCAGATCCAAATGGTATTAAATAATTCAAAAAAACTTCATGAGTAAATACTCTCATGTTGAATACTTCAATATAGTAATACTTTTTTCATATAAGTGCTAATTACTTATTGATAAAACGGTAAAACATTGTCTGCTATGAATTCTATTATATATTTAATACTAACTAACTATATAAAAAAATTAATGCTATTACCAATCCAAACTAATAATATGTAATAAATTTGAAATCAGAGATACATCCTCAATTCTTAAAATAATATTTTGGCATATTCTTTATATCATGAGGCTTATATTTTATATTCAATATATTACAAGAAACAATCATTATGTAGAAGGTGGGAATTGATATGTAGATAATTGTAAATATTTTGTAATACAGACATAACTTAACCTAGTTATTCAACTTTAACTACCTGAAAAATGGCCTGTATTAATTAAATGAGATCAAAAATCCGCAATCATATGTATTGCTGTCCTTCTGATCCAAATAAAAACAATTAAATTTAAAGCTATCATTTTTATTTAAAATTATTTCTAAGATGCTAAATCCAGAAGATTAGGCTGCAACAGAGAGCAGTTTTAGCTAAATAAATAAGCATCAACGGTTAGTAATATAGAATGGCAGTCGCTGCCCTGGGCAACACCAGCGAAATAGTACCTAAACATTAGTACAGGAATTCCAACCAAGGTGGTTCAACTGTATGATGAGACAGACTATGATGATGTGAATAATTTTTGATCCATAATAATTCCGGTCATAATAGCAAATTCGCATGTGTTTCCTAGGTTCTAAAATTCCTTGATTATTATCAAACTTCTTCAGGTTCAGTAGAAATCTTGATTTCACTTTTTTAATCTTAATTTCTCTACGAAAATTCCTTGGACAATAATTTAAACTCATATACATATAAATTTAATGTACGACAGATATTAATGCAATCAAATATAAAAATAAAAACTTTTAAAGAGTTATAAAATATGAAGTACTTTCATTCAGAGAATAAGAGAGAAAGAAAAAAATAGATTTTTTTATTATTATTTTTTTTTTATGACAAATGGAATCTAGACAAACTTAAATTATGTTACAAAGAAATACTTATGAAATACATTTCATAACTGAAGTGTGATTTATAAAACAATTGTATTTACATTGTAAGCCATGGCCTGCGGGACTAAGTGGAAGTCTCAATTTGCCCCATGGGACCTCGTGGGAGTCTCGAAGTGGCCTATGGGCCAAAGACTTGGAGAATCCAATCCTGCTCTAGCATCATAGATAAGGTACAGGATCTCCCTATAAATTGAATTCTGTGCACAAGTGTAGCCTCCCTTAATTTCAATAACAATTTATGACTTCATCAAACTCAATGAATATTCAACTGTTAAAATTAAAACTTTAATTAGAATGCTGGACTCAATCAAAAGGAATAAAAAAACCTCAACGGATATTTTTCAGTAGTGGCAGAGTCTGCCAGGAGGATATGTCACCTACACCTAATTTTGGACACACTAAGCCATTTTTTAAATTCAATCTATAGTGTGATAATGAGTTCTTGTGCCTACCTATCAAGGAGAAGTAACACTAGCGACATATTACTGCTGTAAGAATTATATCATTTTTTTTAAATATAAATTTAAGGATTATATAATGGATAAACGAATTGAATGGAATGGAATTTAAAAAAATTAAACAACTATCACAGGAACAGTTTAAATGATATAATCATGTTTTAGGTCTATCATATATTAATGACCTTGTGCAACACACACTTAAATAAGTACCATAAACCTAAAATTTGTTCATAACTATTGGAATATAAATGTTATTATCTGATCAACTTTCATATTATAAAAATGTATATTTACATTTCCCTTTCCCCAAACTGATTAATAAAATCTAACATCAACCTCAGCTCTACAAAATTTATAAATTTGAATTAATATATCTTAAAACATACTTTTATTAATTACTATATTAAAAACTAGAAACATAAACTTAATATCAGAAAACTTGGTGATAATAAATTATCATTCCATTTATAAAACATTTCAACTTAATTAGCTGAAACCAAATATTTATTTGTAAAGGTAATCAAATTATAATCAATGTCTGGATCTTTTATTTGTAATATATACATACTATTGAAAATTATTACCTGAAAAATAGCCACCATAGAGGCGGTCCAGACAACATTCAGCATCCACCACTAGATGAAATTTTCCATTTCCATTTGGAGGTTTTTTGTGAACTTGCTTTACCCATTTTTGAGCTTGAGTTCTAGCTATTCTAACAAGATCCACACCCACACAGGACCCTTCAACTTGGGAACTTTCAAGAAAAGTTTGTAAATCCTGAATGCCCATTTTTTAGATTTGAATTTTATAAAACAGTTGATTAAAATGAGAACAGTTTAACAATGCAGCACTTTAGTCAAAACTTCGAAATTGTATCTACTTGTTTAATTAAGAGGTTAATATTATATACTAACTTTAGTTCACTTATAACTAATATCACAAATTTCTAGAGTCTAACAAAATCCCACATAACCTATAACTAATAAGTGCTAATAATAGTTCTCTCAATCAATAACAATATAAGGATGTTGGCCAAGCCCATGAACATAAACACTGGAAACTGTTAAATAGTCTTAAACTGACCAAGTAATCATTTAAACAATATATTTAACTAAAATCTAAACAGAAAACGAAGCATCACAAGTTCAATATAATTAGTAGCATGCGGTATTTTAATTAAAAAAACAATTCTGCCTTTGACCCGGCATGGTAGACCATAACTAGTCCGTAACAGTTCTTTAAACAATAATAATTAACAACTGCCTGCATATAGAAATTTTTGGCATCGTTTAAATAAACCAAGGAATCCTGATTTCAACCAACACTACTAAATGAAATACTATTAACACAATACAGAACCCTGAAAATTCGCCATTTTTATTGAGACTACACTTAACATAAGATGGTGTCCAAGGGAAGTTCTATGAACAGTGCAAACCAAATATACAAAAAAATGATAGAAAAGAAACATCAGACTAGTTTTGCAAACACAAAAGTACTTCTAAAATCCAGAGATCATAATCAGAGTAATTTTAAAACCCCTGAGAACAAAATGTATGCAAAACCGCACATTTCTTATCAATTAAAAAAACCCGCCAAAACATGACCATTTAAATTCAGTTCTCCTATCAAATCTTAAATTATTTTTGTTTTGAAAATTGACATAACAACAAAAATAACGTAAGTGGAATGTTACTTCCTAAATTCTAGGATCTAATAAACTCACAGAAGCATGGGATGGCCTAACAACATTGAGAAAACCAACTTCCCATTAATCCAATTTAAAATTAATAAATATTATAGAATGTTAAAAATCCTTTCAAAGAGTAAATTGATCATCTAACCAAAGCTGAGATATGCCAAACACCCACTAAATATATGAAAGACGCTTAAAAAGATAAGGAAAATGGAAAACCTTCATGGGCAATTCCTAAAAAAGTTCGGTATTCACGCAAGTTTTGTTTCAGCTTGAAACTTTCAGGTGCTTGCGTGACTGCAAAAGTAGGTTAATCTTTAAATTAATAGAAAAAATAATATAATAATATTTTTTATTACTCAATATTATAAAACATTGGTCTACTTTTATTTTTTTTTAATAAAACATTTTTTACTTTCACTTATGAACATTAGCGGATTCAGGATTTATTTTTTTGGGGGAGGAGAGAGGGATTCGCCTCGAAAGTTGTTATCATATATATAAAACAATAATTTATGTTGGAAAAAATAAAATAAAGAAATTAACTACCTATTTGAAATAGTGTTTAAGTGGTTCTTGAAGTCCTATTAAATTTAATTACACGAACCGGAATACTTAACGAGATAGTTTTTAATATTTTTTTCTGTAAAACATGGTTTTATTTTACCATTTGAGGGGGGATGCGAGGGGGAGGGCTTCAGTCCAGAAGTTCCTCTCTCCCAGTAAATTCGCCTGTGCTTACCTATATATGTAATAATTGTGGGTTGAAAGTATTGTAATCGTGAAAATTTTCAAGTTTTCAACGGAAATACACGTTTTAAGGTCCCCTGAGCCCAAATAACCAAGTCCCGCAAAATAGTCTGTGTGTCCGTGTGTATTTGAACTGCCAAGCTCAAAAACGAAAAATCGTACGAAACTTAAATTGCGTATTTAAGGTTTTTATATAGTTTCGTTGTCGCAGTAACTTTTTCATTAAAATCAGTTAACCGGAAGTGCCACTTTATATCAACGGGGAAAAGCATCTTTACAATTTTCTCAAAAACGGCTCTAACGATTTTGATTAAACTCGGAGTATCACTGTATAATTAGGTGATCTTTAATATCATGTAGGTCTTATCCTCATTGATGTCACTTTACAGAGTTTAAATGCCCAATACGTCTTTCTCTAAAGTACTTTAATTTGGATTATTTAAAAAAATTAACTTAACTCTGTTTTATTGACAGGACCTATACAAAATGGCTAAATATGAAGTTTAAAAGTATATGATTATAGGAAATTGGAGAAAAAAAGAAAAATGCTTATCCAGGTTGAAAATGAATCTCCGGAAGTAACAGTCAGAATGTATACGTATAATTAATCGTTGGAAAGCGGAGAATTTTAGAAAAAATAATATCAAATAAATAAAGTTGTAGAAGGTAACGTTGAGTAACGAAAGAAATATAAATAATAATTTTAGAAAACTAAATTTATTTAATCTAAGTCACGTGTTTTCAAGGAAACTAAATGAAGAAGAGAAGAATAGTTGGGGTGACCAGTCAAATAAGAAGGCAAAAATAAATGATAATATTTGTATTGATTCTTGACATAAATATTATCATTTATTTTTGCCTTCTTATTTGACTGATCACCCCAACTATTCTTCTCTAGAGCGGTAAGTGAAAGTTGTGTGCACCAAACTTTTTGATAACAAACAGTGGTACACAAGGTTTGCACCATCCTCCTTTTACTTTTCTCGTAGAAAATTCATGACTGCAAACCAGTGTTTTCTACTAAAAATTTTAGGCCTAAGGTCAGTACTAATTGTTTCAATATTTTACGTATACTATAGCTATATACCAAACATATTTTCGTAACTATAAATGGAATTTTCATTGCAATCGAAAAATTTAAATTTTTTTCTCAATATTCGGCCTTCTATTAAAAGCTCTTATGAGATCTATCCATCTTTACAGCTTTAGAGAAAATATTAGTAGTGTAAAATATATTTAATTTTCGATTGTATTGAAAACTTCTTCCATATTGAAAAGTTGTAATATCCAGTATAAACCTGTCAACATAGATGGATCACATAAAAGCTATTGATAGAAAGCCAAATTTTGAGACAAAAAAATTATATTTTTCGATTGCAACGAAAATTCTTATTTAAGGATTTATTGCGGTGCGGAGAACGAATATAATCATTGTTTATCCCCCCCAAAAAATTAATGTCGAAAGTAATACCCAGTCTCGTGTCAAGAATTAAAATCTGGATATTAAAATATACCAAGTTGAAATTTGATATGAAAGTTGTCTTCTGTACCTATTGTGCAAAATCAATCGGTGTGATAAAACTCATTGTAGAACAGGCAAGAAAGAAATATTCCTATACTAAGAATAGAATGATTTTTTTTTTAAATAGTATTATCCTCAAAATTATAATTTTTAGTGATTTAGAAACAGCTTCAACTCTAATATTACAGTTGATTGATACGATTGAAAATCTCAAATATTACAGTGTATTGCTTAAATTTCTTAAAAATTCTTTAAATTTAAATAAAACTGTTTTGGAATGTATAATATTAGAAAATTAACTTGATAAATTTTCATTATAATGTGGACAATAATGAATTTTTTTTTTCGATTAACCCCAACCTCTCCGTTTCTGACATACGGAGATGGTTGTTATGGAGGTACAACCAAACTAATTAGAGTGGGAAGGTCTATATTCGATTCATGGATCCACCACGAAGTAAATTTCAATCCGCTCAGACTGGATTCCAACCGACGACTCTATATTCGAGAATGTTTACGCTTTTACGCGCTCGACCATCATGACCTCATTTAGCAGAGCCATAATTTATAGATCTATGCAGATTCAGCACTGTCCCTGAATTCATATGATCCTGTAGGGAGGACACTGCCAGATTGGCTCCAAAATGATCGGCTATGTAGCTATAGGAGGCAAGCCGTTGCACCATAGAGGCCATATTCCATATCAAATTAAGCTCGAATAACTCTCTCAACTCTGTGATCTGTGATTTCGCAAGCATCATCATGCCGCCAAAGATCTACATATTTCATAGCGGCAACCGAAAAAAAAAAATATATATATATATATGTATATATATATATATGTATATATATATATATATATATATATATATAATGGGGGCTGGGGTAGCCGTACGGCCTAAGGCGCTTGCTATAGGTAATCAAAGTTAAGAAACGTCGAGCGTGGTTAGTACTTGGATGAGTGACCGTTCTGAATGACCAGGGAAAAACCATGTTGTCGAGTCTCCCCCCTCCCTCGGGTATGTGAGACCCGTCAGTCTATTGGAGGCAACTCACGCCGACCGGGCGTAGGACTGATGACCATACCCCGTGTACTTAATCGGGAATCGGAATGTGGTCTACCATGATGTTAGTAACCACCCTGAGGTTCGGTCCATGAACAGACTGTTTCGGGGAAAGAAATATAGGTCCTCGTGTGCCGGCTGACTCGTGCGCAGTCATAATCCATGGATCTAGACCGACTTGTCACTGTCCTTGAACCCGAGTGAGTCGGTGGGAAGGACACTTTGAAATTGGCCCCAAAGGGATCGGCTATGGAGCTACGAGTGGCCTGCTGCTGCACCATGGTAACCATGGTTCGTAGCAACGTGAGGATGGACGATCCCCTCTAGGCTATCTGAGCTCCCGCAAGAAACATATATCTGTAAGAAGACCACATCTCGCGACCAAAGATCTTCGTGGTTTGTAGTGACCACCAAAAAAAATATATATGTCTATATATATATATATATATATATATATATATATATATATATATATATATATAATATATATATATATATATATATATATATATATAATATATATATATATATATATATATATATACATAATTCATAAAGATACATAAAATTCATAATGATTCATAAACCGTCTTCTTTTTTCATTAAACCAAATAATTAAAACACGACTAGCATCAACGGGAATCATCACTTTTCTTGTCTTCTATGGGCATTCCTTGTGTAGTAATAAATTAAAAAAAAAAATGCTCTCTTTGGATCTACTCTTCGTTGATCGAGCCCTCATCGTAAGGTACTAACTGTGGTTATCTTTCCCTTGATTAGGTACTTGTGATTATTGATCATAACAATTACAAATGCTTCTAGGAGTTCTCTTGAACCAGAAAAATGCCATTGCTTCATAACTTTTTAAAGTGAGGACATGTTTTTAAAATGATTAATACATTAGTGGACTTTTATATTTTATATTTTTTAAATTTTAACATCTTATAAATTATGAAATTATTTTTAAATTTCATGCTTATAAAAATATGACAGTACTCTCAGATATTTTTCATAAGAAGCAAATCAGCAAGGATATAGTATTACTACAGTATTACTACATATAGTAGTCAGGCCCTTGAAGAGAAACCATGGACCCAGTATTATACTTTATAGGGTAATCAGGGCCATGAAGAGAAACTATGGGTCCCAGGGATAATATTTCTTTCGTCCCTGTCAACTTATAAATTTACTGCTAAAACCCAGCCCTTTTATAATGTATGTATCAAAAATATTCAAATAAATAAATATATATATATCACTACTTTTAGTGCAAAAAGTCTTATGTAAAAATTTTAAATGTTTATTCTATTTGAATATTTAATAGTTGACCGTTGCATTATAAAGGTCCTGGGTGGCGGTCATAAATAGGCTAAATAGTGGCAAAACTATTTTATTAAAAGCCAATGTTTCGACCCGACTTTGCAGGAAGGCGTGTTCAGCTAGGAGTTTCACTTAAAACTGAAGTTTATTCTATTTGTGCTATATGCGGCATTTTGAAGTTTGTTACTTTGGAAAATAAAACTTGAAATTATACTAATAAATCACAAACAAATAATCAGGTTTTATGTTTTTCTGTAAAAAAACTCAACTTTTAATTACTACCTTTTCTACCAACAGTAGGGGTATGTAATGTTATTTATACATTCTTTTTAATTAAATTTAGAAGTTAAATAATAAAACCTTGTAGGGCAGGGCTCCAATGAAGTCTGTTCCTCTCCCTCCCCTCAATAGGCCTGATGGCGATTGTCCTTGTTCTATAGGATAAAACATGATTGTGATGTCTATCAGTTAAAGAGTTAAGTAAAAAAATACAACATGTTATGTGACATTTAAGGCAGTATTCCTGTCCTAGATATTTCAAATATTTCTTGTTTCTTTATAGCAACTAGTTCAAGTTTTTAAACTGGAATTATAGTACTTTAATAGAATGTTCATTGTAATTGAACAAAGAAGACTAAGTTTTAGATTTTTTCATGAAGAATATGTCTTGAAATTTCATTTTTTTATTAAGAATTAGATTATTTTTTAGATCTTTTTGGTGACGTTTAAGGTTCTTTATCCATTTTTGAGTTCAATTATTAGTGCAGTATGTCATATTTTCTGATGATATCTCTATTATCTTATGTATCCTATCTTTTGTATTTGTCTTAAAAAATAAAGTATATAGAGGGTCACCTTTGCTATTTCACTGTCAAAAAAGTTCAATTTTTCTCAAAAATGCACAGAATCATTAAAGTAAATTTGTCACACATTCAAATTGTTGTGAAATAATTTGTTCTTCCATTTAACTCATTTATCAGATTTCAGCAAGAGAGAACTTAAAATTCATTTTATTACTGTTGGTTTAAACTTGTTTATCTTCTAATTTATTGTTACATCTACTATATATACCAAGTCATTCCATTGGTAGTGTAGTAATGTTGGTTTTAAAAGTTTGTCCGTTTTATTGGTATTACTAATCCCTCCTTTTCAATTGAATTTTGTTTATTATAGCATTACATACTCTTCTATTTATTATGTTTTTGTTAATTATTCTGTAATGAAATTTCAATTAAATGGATCTATTCAAAAGTCACTTATACCATATTATGCTTTGGGAAGTCCATGAGAAACACTGAGAACAGAAGTGAGAGGGCTTCATCCAATAAAAGTAATGATGTATGTTTGGTGTGATATGAAAGGAATCCTTCATTATGAATTTCTTGATCGTAATATAGCATACATCTACTGTGGATTTTATTTTAAAATAGAGTCGGATCAATTAAAGCAGGCAATTGAGAAAAAGCATTCCATACTTATCAATAGACAAGACATTTTATTCCACCATGACAATGTGAGGCCCCATGTTGCAAAATAAACATGGCAAAATTGAAGGACTTTGGATGGATAATTATTCTTTACCTACCATTCTCCTTACTTAGCGCCTTCTGATTATCACATTTTTCAGTCTCCAAAACTCATCAAGAGGTAGGTACATGAATTCAGTCGAAGTTAAAAAACAAAGTGTTGACGTTTTATTCAAAACCAAATGATTTTTCAGAAAAGGTGTACCAACTTTGGTTTTAAGATGGCAAACTGTTATAGAACAAAACCGTAATTAAATGACAAATACATTTTAGATTGAACGTACTTCATTGATTTTATCCTACCCCTTACATCGCCCATTTAAATACAGACATTACTTATGGAATGACCTGATATATTTACAGTGTACTTTAATTGATTGTAACAATTATTTTCATTTAGAATTTTCCATGGAAGTAAATGCTCTTTGAGTAGTGCCTCAGCTGCTATAACTAGAATTCATCGAAGGGATTACTTATTACAATATATGACAAAAGTGGTCTTGTCTGATGGCTCATCTATAACTGTGAGATACCATGAACCCAAACAAATAATACAGGTAATTTACTGTTTCTCACTGAAATAGATTTTTTTTTTCATAGAAGTTATATATTATTTGGACCATCTTAATGTAAGAAGGAATTGACCGTCCAATGTCATTGTTGATTAGGGTTTAAGTTTTTTTGCAGAGTTTGGTATTATAATGAATAATTGCCACTTTTATGCCTAAATTGATCCATACTCCAAACAATTAATAAAGAAACTACCAACCTTTGGATCCCATTCCTACCTTTCCTCACTATCTGCATGTGATAACTCACTCTGGGAATTAACTAAAAAAATCCTTAAATCCCATTCCACTCCACCCTGATGATGGTTCCTGGGCTTTGTCAGAGGGTAATAAAGAAAAGAAAATTTGCTAAACATCTGTCCAACACATTCACCCTCCATCCCGAATACCATTCTACCAACACTGCCAAAGTTAAAGAATTCCTCTCTTCACTGATCCCGCTGTCTTTGCCGTCTAAAGCTGTCAATCCCTCTGAGATCAAATTCCTTATAAAAAACCTGAAACCTAGAAAATCCCTAAGGATACGATCTTCTAACTTTCCAGATGCTTAGGTAACTTTCCAAAAAAGCCATTATATTCCTTACATACATAATATGTGTTATTGACTATATATCCTTTGTTCTTGAAAGGAAGCAATATTACACTTGATAGCCCTCCCCCTCTTCCCTCCCCAATAGTTTGAAGTAATAAAAAATATAATTAAAATTGATAACCAATAAGATATATGAATGAATGAAATACGCAAACTAAAATTGATTAAGTGGTGCCTGTCTGGACGTAGCGTAAGATTTAGAACCGGTTTGGCACAATGGTTTGCTTTTATCCCAGCTCAAAACTCTCTTATCCCAATCCTTGTACTTAATCCTGAAATCCTACCTCACCAAACGTTCCTTCCAAGTACGCTGTGTCTCAGAATTTTCCAATTGTTACCCAGTTGAGGCAGGCGTCACACAAGACAGTGTCTTAGGTCCTATTTTATATATTCTCTTCACTACTGATATCTCTACAGATCCCGATACCTTCCTAGCAATATTTGCAGATGATTCCACCATACTGTCCTCCCACATGTGCCCAAAGTTGCATCCCTTAATCTGCAAAGACAACTGCCTCTGATAGAGCAGTGGTGCAACAATTGGCGCATTAAATTAAAATGTAAACATGTCACCTTCACCCTCTGACGCAGATTCTTCCCACAAATCCTATTTAACTCTATCCCACTTTTCAACTCAGACACTGTCTGGTATCTTGGCTTCCTTTTAGACAAGAGACTGACTTGAAATCCACACACCAGACTTAAAAGACAGCTTAACCGACAATTTTTCCAGTTATACAGATTACTAAACAGGACATCTCATCTTCCAATCGAAAACAAACTATTAATCAACAAGACTGTACTGAAACCTATCTGGATCTACGGATTTTAACCGTGGGGAACAGCTAAATTTTTGAATATCAAACATATTCAATCCTTCTAGTCCAAAGTACTTCGAACAATATTTAATGGCCCATATTATGTCTGAAATAACAATATCTAACTCCAACTATCCCTATAATCCTCCCTGAAGGTTGAAACGGCAGTGCCTCAAGAACTTTTGTAAATATGTTAATGGAGTCCTGGCAAAGGCCAGCTTTTCCACTAAATGCCTGGGTGTTTTTGCCCTCTCTCTCAGACTCCACTGGCCTCCAGTCTGGTGATGCGGCTGGAAAAGACCTCCTGAAGCCAAGCTTTGCCTTCCACATGGAGAAGACAAAGTCTGGCTGGGAGTCTATTGGGCAACTGTAGATATTGTATATAGTTGTGAATGAGCTTTAGAATCTTTTGTTTTTTATTTATTTATCTTTAATTATCTTCATTTATTTTTCTTGTATGTACATATTGTATGAGTGGATACTTTTAGCTCTAATGTTTATTGCCCTTCAGTGTGGCAGATTGTATTAATATTCTATAAATATATTAAAAAAATAAATAAAAGTTGACCCGAGAACTGATAATACACGCAAAGATTTAAAATTGGGCAATTTACTTTCTGAAATGTAGATCATCTGCATTTCTAAGCTTAATATTTTAATACCTACCCTATCGGGGCATCTCTTTAACCTGGTAAATAAATTCCAAGACCAATAGTTGCTATTTTGTTCTAAAAAAACATCTCACCGTTAAGGCTGTGACAGATCAAGTACAGTATTTATAAAACATTGAAATGGCAAGTGGCTGCACATGGCTAAGCTATGTGGGGAAGACCCATTGGGGAAGCCAATCTCCACATTCAAGTGTAGAAACATCGAAAATGAATAAATTTACAACTCATGTCTAATAATAATTACTTTTAAAAATTGTTAAATAGGCATCCATATATATTGGAAGATGATATAATTATTATGCACCAAATTTACTGTTGGAAAATCACTTGAAACTAATAACAGGAAATTTTGTATATTCATGCAACATTATAATGCTTACAGCAAAAGAAGACACTTGCCTTTATCTGGTTATAGTATTTTTTTCTAATTTGGTGATAAGAGTTATTTATTGATGCATAGTTATGCACTTTGGTTAATAAAAGAAAAAAAAATTCCTTTATTTTGGAATTAGTTGTCAGAAATCTTTTAACACTGTTAATGATCATTGTTTATTTAGAATCGAATAATGTAGTTCGCATTGGATTTGACTAACTGCGGTGTGAGACAGGAAGATGCCCTTGCAGCTTTGTTTTTTAATTTTGTGGCGAGCAAGCATTGCATCAATTTGGTATCTAAACTCGGATCACATTGTTCAAGCATGGTTTATTTCTTTGGGAAAAACAGACAACTTCAAAATCACATCCAGATCTCAGTTTGGCCTCAAAGAAATGTTCCTTTCTCTTGAAATAGCTAAAAAAAAAAAAACTGGCTTGATTATCAATGAAATTTTGACAGAGTATTGGAAGTTGGACCTTTCAGATTTCAGAAGGTGCAGTGTTTTGTATTCCTGGATTTGGAAGTAAATGCACAAAATGACTTTTAGGAGATATTGTTAATTAGGGTTGGTTGAGCTAACCAAAGCTACTTTGGTATAGTGCAAATCTTCAAGAGCAGGTTCCTCTACAACAGAACCAAGATCAACCTTTATGTGATGTTGTCATGCCCAGTTCTTATTGCATTGATGAGAGGCCTAGATCTGTACCTGAGCTGTGGCCATGCTTCTAATGTTTTTAAAAATATTTATAAGAATTTTTATTTTCAGTCTAGTTTGAGAGAGAGACAGATGGAGAAAAAGGAATGTTTTCAGGGCCTTATAACAACTTGATGGAGTTTAATTCGGTAGGTAGGATACATAGTGTAAGTGGCGGATGACGAGATCCGTTACAAAACGCTAACTGATGAACTTCATGGCTAATGAAGAGTGGATTGGCCTAATGTAAGTAAGACAGATTACTGTTATAGCGAACATGTGGATTCATGTTGGCAACCAACAATGAAGAGCTGCTGCAACAGACCGAGCCAAGTAGAAGAGGGACGTTGCCAAGACTTGGAGACAGATTGTCACATCACTTATTTCATTACATATTTTTTAACCATAACAATTCTTCGTTGATGTTAAATATTAATGTAAAAAAAAAAAAATCATTTACTTTCTTATGAAGACTACGACTATGATCTTCAATTTTCACATATTAAGTTTTAGAAGATGCTGGATATATGTTAAGAAAATTAAATGAGGAATACCAGCAGTGGGGACTAGTTATTAATGCCGAGAAAATGGAACACATGACATTCAATAATGAGGATATAGAACTGAATGAAGGAGGGGTTCTAAAAAGAATTAAACATTTTAAATGTCTTGGTTCCATAATTGAAATAGATGGTGCATGTGATGTGGAAATAAAAAGAAAAATTTCAGATGGCAAAAAGACCATATCAATGCTCAACTCTGGAATATTATCCCCAAAAGAAAAAAAAACATCTACAATAGTATAGTATTGAGCGTTATGACATATGGGTCAGAAACTTGGACCATAAAAAGCAACCTCAGGAAGAAACTTCTAGCCACCGAAAATGGACTACTGGAGAAGAGCGGCGGAAATATCCAGAATGGATAAAGTGAGAAATACGACCATCAGGGAAATGATTGGGGCTAAAAGAACCATTCTAGCTGTAAGAAATGAGATAAAGCTCTTATGAGAAAATATTAAGAGTGCAATCTAAGTTGTTCCTATGAGGAACCTATTCAAAGAAAAGTGCAATACATCTATTCATGGAAATGAACAATTTACAGTGTGTGAAAGAACTGTATATATGTAAGTAACTGTCGACTAAATAAACATCTCTTTAATCTGAGATTAACTGAGGCACTGATTTGCAGGTTTTGCGGTATGAAGTAACACTTAATAAGCAAGTGTGTTGTTTTAGCCAGGATTTGGTATTTCCACTTTGGTTGTTATTATTTAGGGGTTAGAGATTTAAAACATCGAGATCATCTACTCCTATCCATTTTGGTTGTGACTTCATTATTTATCCTAATCCCTGCTAATTGATTAATCCAACAGTTTATACAAGTTTGGCAAGACTATTAATCTGTTTTAACAGAGTATATGGCAGCGCTCAATGATGCTATGGGGCATTCATGACAGAATTTAAAAAAAAAAGTATCTAGTAATTAAATTAAAATAATTTATTTTTTATAAAGGGTTAATATTTTTGGAAGCTTTTGTATATTTTGAATAATACATACATTATATTGATAAATGAAATATTTTTTAGCTACCATTAGACTTATCCACATTAAGTGAAGCAGAGGCCAAAGCAAGATTAGAGAAACGGAGACCTAAAACTAAAGTGAAAATACAAGAAGAAGAGTTGGCTTCATTTAGTGCTAAGAAATACATACACTTAATTAAAAAGAAATAACCTGTAAATATTAAATAAAGTTGCGTAGAAATATTAAATAAATAAAATGATTATGATTGAAAAGACTTGTCTTAGTTGAAAAATGATTATGATTGTACTAATTAAACAAAAAATTTAAGAAAATTATTTGTTTTAGTAAATTAAATATTAAACTATAATATTTATATATAAAGCCTATATAGTCACGTAAGAATTTAGTTCCAATAATATTTAAATATAATTAAAAGAAAATAGTTTGTGAATAAGATTGTATAATCAATTTTGTTGATATAGGCTAAAAAATGTACTATCATTATATTATATTTTTTAATAATGTCAAGAAAAAATTATCAAAATAAATCTTCTTTATTGATTTATTTGAATAACATTTCAAATCATCTGTCAATATAGTAAGAATGTATTAAAGGCCACTGATTATAACAGAAAATAAATTTATCAAGGTTGCTAAAAAAAAAAAAAAAAAAAAAACTGCCTGAAGTATTAACTTAAGTGAAGTAGATATATAAACTTTTCTTCTTAAATTTATGTTAATCACTTCCTCAAATAATTCTATTCATATATTTAATTAATATTAGACTATATAACTATTAATGGCTAAATATATCTTATTAAAAGATACTAAATATTGAGAAAGTACATTTCTATTATTTTAAATGAATTGGTGATGAAGAAAATATGAACTATATGATAAATGAAGAAAATACTTTACCCAGAACAAAAAAAAGAGATTAATGTATGTGTGTGGGTGAGAGAGAGAGAGAGAGAGATTAAATATAATCTAGTCAACGAAGTGGTTGTAGTGTGCACAGGGGAGGGACAAGCGTTTAACTTTGAGAATTTGTGGGGAGTACTTAAGAGGTAAATATACTAAAATTCCCTACTCATATCCCTTCCACTTCATTGCGGGAGAGGAGATAGGCCGTAAAGGTCACTTCTTGAAAACGAGACATCACAGACGAAACATTGTTATATAATAAACTAAAGCTGATAAAATTTCCAGCAAGGAAGTTAATTAAGTCTTTTATTATTATTAAGTATATTAATTTCTTTATAGTTTTTGAGATATTCGCTAACTCAAATTAACAATATTCAAAAACTTTATTTTATCCTCACGTTTTTTGTCAATAAATGTTTCGTTCTACAAGAAAATCACTTTAAAGAAAATTATAGGCTATAGTTTTTTCTTTAAATGTATATATCCCTTACTAATTTGTCTTTAGTGAGTCTAAAGTTAGAGTAATTTTAAATATTGTGCCAAATTTTGTCATTGCATATGAGAAACTTATTAGTTTATTGTTGAGTATGAATTTCCACCATTTACACATGAAAGATGTACAGTATATATTAATCAAATACATAAAGATATATATAATTAAGTGCAGTAACCCCATGTTTGCTGTAGTTGATTATGTTTTAGGATACTTCGTCCCATTTTATCTCACTTATTGACACTCTTTCATGCATGCTGTAATGAAAGAATATTTGAATGTAATGAAATTTAATTTATTCAAACTATAGACATCAAAATACATTATCCTCGATACATTTATATATTATAAAACCTGCCTCTTTTGGAATGAGAGGATTCAGTTTTGAGCTCTAACTCATAGAATGGTGGCAGCAACAGCTTGTCTTCATCACAAATACAGGATTTAGTATCCATCGTAGATACGGGGATGGTAGGTCCAAAACATTCGTTCTATGATATACATTTACGCTTTGATTGCCTTCCCTTTCGTAACTTTAAAAGATAATTGATATTTGAAGAACACATGGTTAAGACCGGAAGGTAATGCCACCATTTTTATTTTTCAAAAATTGAGTCATTGACTAGTTAAAATAGATAAAGAGATAGAACAATAGTATTGCAAAATTTATAAATTGGTTTGAAAAATTACTGAATAAAAGAACCTTAACATCTAATTTTTCTTTTAATCACAATTTAGTATGTTATTCTAATCTGCTCTTTATTTATTATTCACTTAAACAATTTAGCAATCCTAAAATACTTTTACACAATATCTTTCATAAATTTCCAGATACATTTTTTTGTATTGTATAATTTCTTAAATATAATATTCTGCATTTCATGTTTTAAATTTCTATGCATTAAGATTTAAAAAAATTAAATCCTATCAATTGTGATCTAGTTAAATTTGACTGACTAAAAGGCTTAATAATGAATATCACAGTCAGTTAGGTATTGTGTTCCAATACTCTTAGTTGTCTTTGAATTAGGCTGTGGTAGATAATTATTTATTTTATTACATCATCCAAGGATTGGGAGATCCTCCTGGTGCACAATCAACTTCTATGTGAATAATCATGATTAAAAAAATTATTAAAAAGGAAAACCTGGCAGTTGAGTGATCTTGGCGCAACTCTCTTGTAAAACCATTTATTAAGAAACAGTACTTCTTTACTAAGTACTGAATTCTGAACACTTATAGAGAAAAATATTTTCTCAATCAGTAAAAATTCTCAATTTACTAAGGCTTTTTAAATTAAATTATAAATAGATATAGCAACTGTAATTCTAACCACAACATATCTAGCCAAATGAGCAAAAAGAATAAGAACTAAAGCCACTTAGAGAAAAATAAAAAAGGAAATAGATAAGTCAAAGTAATATAAAGAATTTATTTAAAAGATTGTACACAATCAGAAAGTTAAGCAACAAACTCATAAGGAATAGGAGCAAGCAATATTGGCTCCTCCTTTACTTCAATTAAATGTGCTGTTCTTGGTTGTGCAGGCTGTCTTTTAAGTTGAATAAAGGTACCAGTTTCTTTTGCTATTTTCCTAAGCCTCTCATTTTCTCTTACTCTTTTCAAGAAATCCTCTCTACATTTTGAGTGGTTAACATGCTCAATCCTTATGTTGATTCTTTTAGGGAGAATATTACCTCTAACTCTTTTATTAACAATTACACCCAATGCTCTAGGTGTAACATTATATACTCTGCCTGTTTTTCCATGGTAGCTTTTGTGTGGCATACCTTTTTGGACAGCCCCATTACCTTTGATAGATACTATATCACCAACTTTGTATACTTTCATATAAGTAGAGAGCGGTATAACTCCATGTTTACGATAACCACGAGAAAACAAATCTCGGGTTCCTCTTCGGTAACCTTTAGAGTTAGTCATATTCTTATCTCAAAAAACACGTGTTAAGAAGATCTAAAACATAATAGAATGACTGAATTAATCATTGGCTTAAAAGTAACTTATCCAAAAGATTAAATAATGTACAACTTACGAAATGAGTGAACAATCGACTGTCTCAAATAAACTCGACTGTGGAAGCACAATGTGAGCTAAGCATCACCAAAACATGGAAGGTTTTACAAAGTAATCAGTGTTACCATGTTCTTTTTTTATTTTTATTTTAGTTCAACTAATGTTATTTATTTTTTACATTTACTGTTTGAATAGATTCATTATATTTGACTGATACAATACATCTGATCTTATAACTGTGATTGAATAAAAATGAAACTACTAGCTGAAAATTTATTCAGATATTTGTAACATTAATTTTTTATCCTTAACACCTTAAAAAGATTTTATAATAAATATTATATACAATATTGAGAGATGGTTGTAATAAATATGTCTATTTTCGAATTAACTATAGCTTCAGGTTCACTCCCCCCCCTTCTTTTCTTAAAACTATTGAAATATTTTTCCTGAAGAATCGTTATAAATATCAATAACAGTTTGGAATAAGTATTTTCGTTTCAATATCTTAAAATTGTCAAAATAATTCAGATTAAACGAAAAATGGATGCCGATGGTATTATGAATAACCCCATTCTCTCCTTGCTTTGTAATTTACATTCCCACCACTAGGAGCAGTAACAGTTTTCTACCAACATGGCTGTAGTGTAGTGTGTGTTGAACTTTGCTTACGGTCGTTTCACGTCGCAGTGTTTTCATTTTCAGAATGAAGTGATTATTTATCCACGGTTACTACCATACCTCTGATATGTTAATCGTATATTACCGGCCCATTATTCATACGTAATGTATATTTTTAATCGATTCTCGTTTCATTTCAAAGCATTATTTATGCTCTGAAGTTAATATAAATGTTTATGAGACTATCTTGACATTAAGTTCGTTAGTTTAAGATCTTCTTACAGTTGTACACTTTTTAAATTAAAAACATCTGGTCTCAGGTAAAAATTAACAAAGTTTTATTGGACTTAATGATAATCAGTGGAAGTAATGTAAAACTTGATAAAAAACTAATAATTAGGTTTAAAAAAAGTACAATAAACAATGTGATTATGGCAATAATATGGATGGAAGGTCAATATGTGATGGTGACTTAAGACAGTGTGTAGTCATTGTGTGTTAATAAAATGACGGATTGTGAACTGTCATGTAGCGAAGGGAGTGTTAGTCAGGAGTGCAGGGTAACAGGCTCATCATGTTTAGCTTTGAAAAATGCAGTAGCAACGCTTAATCGCCTTGATGATTTTGAATGTGAGAAGATTGGAAATGGCTTTTTTTCAGAAGTTTTTAAGGTAATTTTTGAAATATCATTTTTTACACAATATTTATTATAAACCCAATAATTATAGATATTACCATACCATTCTGGTCGTACTGATTGGTTTAATTTTATGATTCAATTTTATTAAAATACCGTGCTGCTTAAAATCTGTTCAATTTGCATTAAGTTATTGGTATCGGTTGAAAATCATTATTTTTATCATGTTTATATTACCTGGCTGAAATTATGTCATTCATCTATTTATTTCAGGTTTTTGATATTTATGTATTTTACTTCTAGAAATTAGTTTATAGCTTGCCTTGAATAGCATATACCGTTTAACTTTTGATTATTTGTATTTTCCTTTATATATTGAACATGTTATGATCACTTATCCTACATTATTCCAATACTTGAACGATTTGCATTACTTATCATTATTTCATCATAATTGAAATATTGTTAATTGCTAATATTGCTCCTGTTATGGTTCTTTAGTTGCCTTTTCTGCTGAAAGGTATCATTACTATATCTGTGTTCTGCTATTGTATGATCATTATCAACCAGTATCTTATCATTTTTTATCACAGATATTTAAAAAAATTTCTGTTTATTATTTATGTCTACATTTAAATATACTTTATGCTTGTGTTTTAGAGTAGTGAAATAATGAAAGTATGTATTCATTTTTCATACTATTGATTTATTTTTCAAATAATTTTATTAATGAATATATTATAATTAAATGAAATATAAATGTATATTTTTTTAACATTACAAACATTTTTATTATCAGTTGGAAGTTCTTAATTTTATTTCAAAAGCTTTTGAATTATTAGAAAATAAATAAATTACAGATGGATGTATATGTTTACTATTGAATTTGTAAGGATGAAAATTGTTTTTATTTTATACATAATGTTTAGACTGTTCAGCCTGATCATTTTTCATCCTTACAAAATAAATAAATATTTCTTTAATTTTTAGACTTTAATATTTGTTTTCAATGCTTAAACTAAACTGCTGAATTAAATAATTGATAAAGTTTAAGATCAGAAATGGATTAAAAGATTTATTTAAACTATATTGGTGACATGCATACATTAGGCTTAAAATTTTGCAATTATTGAATTCTATGAAAGTGTTAGTTGATACTGTAATCAGTATCTATCATCTTTACCGATTGACTATAGTTAGAAGGAAGACACTTCTCTAGAAGTTTTTTTAAAAAGTTTTTATCTCTGCGGGAACTACATATCATAGTGTATTCTATGTGAAATTGTTTGATTAGGTTTTCTGGTCTATAGTTATTTGTTTGTTCTGTTATTTATTTGCTGTTATATCTTTGGTGTGTGATTTTAGAGTAGGGTTACCATTCCTATGATTAATGTAATTATATGAACTATATTGATATGGAAGTTTTTGATGATTTATGAACTCCAGATTTTCATAGTGTAGTTACAGTTAAATATAGGCTGATTGTGTACATTAATATGTCTGCACATATTATTTTATAATAAATGAATTGGCCCTAAAACACTCCAATGGGGGCTGATCGGAGGGGGAGTCAGTCAATGGTTTGTGTCTGATCAACAACCTTAAGGAATAAATAAACATTTTTGTATATTGAATAATGTTATTTGCAATAGGTTGTTACTTTTAACCATTTTACTCTTCTGGAGGTTTAAATAAATATCTCGATTTGAATTAAATATTTTTAACTACTAGATATAATTTTCATCCATTCATTTTGAGATATAAAAAAAAAGTAGTCTATGTGTGCTGACTTAGGTTTTCTTTTCTTGTTAAGATAAAAGAGGCTATTAATCGATGTTGCTCGTAGCACCTGTCCTTGTTTGTACATAAAAAAAGTCTTCAATTTCAAGTAATTCCCAAATTTTATTTTATCTCATTCACGTATAGAAGCCAGTGGTATATTTAATTTTAGTTTGCTTAACTTCTTTTTCTTAAAGTAACAAATCATTCACGTTAGTCTAGCATAATTCCTCAACTGCCTTTGCTACTTATTATTGAGTTTCTAATTATTTTTTTCTCTATTCCAAAAATAAATTAAAATAAATGAAACCCTAACAATTTATTATTAAGAAATTAATTGTTTAATAGGGACATTAAAATTTTCTGTTTTTAATGATGAATTTAATTAAAATTCTTTATTTTTAGACATAAATTAAATATAATCTTAATTAGTTAATATAGTATAAAAACTTATTTTTTTATTAATAGTAATATCAATTATATTTACACATAAAATGTCCCATAATGCTACACATTCACCAAAATTTGGTTGTTATACTTCTCCTGCCTTAAAACCAAAACAGAATAGAAATTAGAAATTAAATAGAAAAAATCAAATGTTATTGCTCGCTTATCTAGTATATGATTATAATTGATTATTCTTATAAATTGAATTTATGGTTGGCATGATTAAGATATCAGCACTTTCCTTCTTTATTTTTTTTTGTTGGCTGGTAGATGGTACCAGTTTCATTATGACCGGAACTTTTATTTTTAATTGTTTTTCTGATATTTCGGAAATAGAAATTTTTCCCATGCAGATTTTTTATTAAACATATTATAGAACTTTTAGAAACGTTTTAAAGTGACTAAAAAGTAAATTTAAACAAAATGAATATTTGTGAACTGTTAAAATTATTATTTTTTATTAATTATGCCGTGTAATATATATAATGCCATTTATTAATATATTAATGATAGGTATTTATCCATTATATTCCAATAAATATTTTGGAAGATTTTAGTAAGTGTTTTCTGAGATGTTTTTCTGTCCATTTTATTTTTCCCCTGACATCTGAGTTCTAAAAAGATATTTAAATAATTTTTGTACTGCTTTTTATACTTCTTTTTTAACGAGTGTATTGAAGTAATTCATTTATAAAATTTGTTTTACTTAAGACTTTAATTTTTTTTATTTCTTATTCCAAAACATCTGAACTGAATTCGATGTGAATTTCTGAGATGATTTTGTGAAGTTTATTGTAATAATAATTATGTTTTTCTGTTGCCATTACAGACCTTATTGATCTTTTGCCACCTTAATCAGTCTTCTCTCTCCATCTCTTCCTGTCTAGAGATATTTCTATTCAGTTATCTGCATGCAGCTCTGTTGCATCTTTGTTTATTCGATATATCCATATGCTCTACTATTGAGGCATTCATTGGTGTGTTGAGGCATCCAGATAGATTGCTCCCAGCTAACCATCTTAACTTCCTTTTCTTGATATCATGAGACATTGATTGACCAGTTTCTGTAAGCAGTTTTCTATTGGTATTCCTCAATGGGTTAGTACTCTGATCCTAGATCGCTCCCGTTGTTGTGTGGAGGATTTTTCTTTCAAGTCTTTCAATACTTCTTTCTTAACTGCTGTCTGGTATCCAACTAGCTCAGCTTTATATCAGAACTTGCTTTGCGCTCTTATCCATTAATTTGTGATTTCTTGAGATTTTTATGGATTTACATACCTTTAAAAGAGTATTTGAATTTTTCTACTCTCGGAAACTATTTCACTTTTACACAGACCATGTTATTGGGCTGGAATTTTCGGCTTTTTATCATGTATATATTTAGTTTTATTTTCATTCACCTCTAGGCTGATTCGCTCTGCTTCTCTAATGAGAGTCTTGGCGAGTTTCTCGACGTCCTCTTGATCGTTTCCAAGAACTGCTATATCATCTGCTTTTATCCAAGGATTTTGTGATTCGTTCCGATGCAGCCTACCATTTTCGTGTCATTTTCTTATCACCTTTTCCAGTGCTAAGTTGAACAACTGTGAGATTTCATTTCCCTGGCGTAATCCAATTCGAACTTTGAAGACTTAGATACTTCTTGTTTTAAGGCTCGTCATTTGGGTCCTTTGTACACGTCAATCTCAGTAACTTCCCAGGAACTCCCAATTCAGTCATGGTTTTCCAAATACTGTTCCTATCCACAACACTTATAAATTGACAAATAAGGCGTGGACGTTCTGGGCTACTTCTTATCATTTTTCGAGTACTTGTTTTAGTATGAAGATCTGGGGTAGCGTGCTCCTTTTTCTGAATCCATCTTGGTGGTCGTCTATTATATTTTCGTAATACGTATATATCTGGATCCGTATCTGGTTTAATTTAATTATGATATTGTATGGATTTTTTACATTTTTTAAAATTAGTCATTTTTTAATTTATTAAAATTTAAATAAATATTATATAGTCCGTGGTATAGACCCCTTTTTATAGAATTATTAACATCCATTTGAAACTTCGTAAATAGTTACATCTCATCGTAATCTACAACTATTGAAAACTCTTAGAATTGGAATTGGGCCGTTTTCAATCTGGAGGGGAGCAAACTTTGTCTATTAAGATACTAACAACTCGTAAATACCCATTCGATTTCTACTTGGATCGTAAGATAAATAGATTACAAAATCGATAAAAAAAAGTGCCCTACAAAAATTGTCATGTATAAGCTCGTAAGTTTTGGAGTGTAGACCACGCAAAACGGCTCAATATTTTTGAAGGCCACCTTTTTTCTCGACTTTGTGATCTTACGATCCAAGTAGAAAGCAAATGTGTATTTACGTGTTTTTAATACTTAATTAAATAGGCAAAGTTTGCCTCCGTTCAGATTGGAAACTCCCCAATTCCGAGAATTTTCGTAAATAAAATAATTATAGGTTACAATGAGATGAAGCTGTTTACAAAGTTTCAAGATGTTAATAATTTGATAAAAAGGGGTCTGTACCTCGGACTAATTATTTTCTTGTTTTATTATAAACATTTTCTTTCAGAATTTTAAAGTTTTGTCTCGATGATGTTTTCACATCGCTACTGAACCTAATTCAATAAAAATTCGTTTTTTCATTTTGAAGGGAACATTTCTTGAATATCTTTACAAGAATCCATTGTTGGTTTTGACAATTTAAAATCACTCGTTTAAAAAGGGAAAAACTATGGGATTAAAACATGTTACATATGTGCACTATGGATTCAATTATTTATTTATTGGAC